AAAAAAAAAAAAAAAAAAAAAAAAAAAAAAAAAAAAAAAAAAAAAAAAAAAAAAAATGAAGGAAAACCAAATTTTATGGAAATAAATACAAATAATATTATAAAAGGAAAATGCATAAGTATTTTTGTACGTCAAAAATAACTTGTTTATTTTTTTCAATATCTTTAATAACTGAAAAAAAATGTTTAAATGTCTAATTCGAAATTAAATATCCAATATAATTTTTTTATTATTACGTAATAATAAATGTTCGAATATTTATGGTTTATTGTAACATTAATTGCATTTATCATATTTATATTGTTAATACAATGTAAATAATCAATATCTGTTAAGTGGATTGATTATAAATAAATAAATAAATATTTATATATATAATATGTATATACGGATCATAATTTACATAATTTGTACCTAAATGAAATGTACCAATTAAAAAAAACCAAAAAAAGTTGTAAAAATGTAAATATTTTTTTAACTCGTTAAATAATGTGTTACAACTTTTGAATGGCATTTGTAAATCATATAAATTTAAATATAAACTTTAAAAAAAACCAATCTTTTTTTTTTTAAATACAAATTTTAAAATCTATCAATTTAAAATTTAAAAAAAAATTTGAATTATTTGTAACGGAATACGATTCTTTCATAATTTTCAGTTATTGGAGGAAAAAAAAAAAAAAAAATTTGATCATCCTTATTATTTATTGTATGTCTTTTGTACTATTATCAATGACAGCAGATAATTTGCAGTAATTGAGGTCGATTTTTGAAATTGTGTGTAGGGGTAATTTTTTATTCTCCGAAAATTCATCTTCCGTAAGCAATACAAGTAAAATATCTACCGAATAAAAATTGAGAAGCAATTTAGAAACAAACCATTTCTAAATAATATTATAAACATGTTTCAATCCCGTTCGATACGTTCGCCATGCCATCTCATAAACATATAAACGTGTTATCGTCAACAAAAAACGAATTGAGGCCAATGTATCATTAGCCTTATTTATTTTAGGATACTGAAATTTATTAATCTATTTATAAATAGATTTGTACCGTATCTGGTATAGTTCGAGTGCTGTTCTTTCGACATATGATCAAGTTATAATAATTGTCAATTAATTAAACCATTTAAAATCTCAATTAAGTTAGTATTCTTAATTCCGCAAAAGTTATTCCCAACTACAGTTGTAATATCATCAATGTCATACATTGGCGCTCGCCATATGTGAATGCTGTGAAACATTCTATTTCTTGATTTGCACCGATAAACAAATTCATGAAAACCAATTAATTTGATTTTATTTTTATCCACTAGTAACTAATCATATTACAGTTGATATATCAGGTACAGTATGTATCCCGAATGAATTAAAAAGTTTTTTTTCTTTTTTCGTGCTCAGGTTCGCAAAATTTTGGTTTGTACTCTATATTCACGATTTCACTTTGTATCACTTTACACAAATTTATCAAAACATCGAATTTGTTAATTTTCCGATCTTTTTACATGGTACATATACAATATAATAATGCTGATAATCCTACCTTATCTGATTCAATCCTCTATTAATGGAAAATTTCAATAGAATATCTCCTGAATATAATTATTGACGGTATTATCGTTATTTAAAAATGTATAACATTCAATTACCTTTCAATTAAAATTGAAATTGCTTTTTTAAACCATCATATTTTCATTTATTGGTCTTTCATATCAAGTATAAACGACAATAAAATTCTATAATTGACAATGCAATTACTACAAATCCCTATTGTAAAGTATTTATTATATAATCATTATTAATGTATTTCTTTTTTTACTATTTATTTTATAATAAACAATAATTATATTTTTAAAAAAGATTCAAAACTCGGTTGAGTTATTACTACTGTACTGTAACATGTACTAATTTCAGGGGTAAGGCTTAGAATAAGTTTTAGGTTTAATCTTATGTACATTATAATGTATAACATTAAATTTTGAAATGCGGATACTTACGCGTGGATCATATGATAACGTCAAAGCGTTCTAAAATTTTTTTAAAAAAATTTTGGAATTTTTTATCCGTAAACAAAAAAAAAAAATAATGCTTCAAAAAACATTTTCGTTAAATCGATCAATTTTTTCTGTAAAATCATTTTCTTGTATTAAAAAATACTCCACTGCAGCAAATCAGCAACAAAAACCTTCCGCTTTTATGGTATTTAATCGAGAAACGAAAAGAATCCAGAGAGATCGTTCTTCAATAGATATTGAAGAAAGTAGGAAAGTCGATTATCTTAAAGATGAAATCGCTTATCGAATGGTTGATAGATTGTTGGTAATAATTTTCTTTTAAAAATATTGATCAAATTTTTAAATAAATTTTAACTTAATTAATTCAAATTCTTAGGATATCAAAAGAAAATTTAATACAATCGTTGATTTGGGAAGTGGATGTGGTCATATAATCAAACATGTTGATAAAGACGTAATGAAAAAGTTAATTATGTGTGATATATCATCAAAAATGTTGGAAAGAGATAAAGATATTAATTATGAAGTTGATGTTGAAAGAATTGTTGTGGATGAAGAGTTATTACCTTTTGATGATAATTCTTTAGAAGCAGTTTTAAGTAATCTTTCTTTACATTGGGTTAATGATTTACCTGGTGCTATGATACAAATTCGAAAATCTTTAAAACCTGATGGTGTATTTATTGCATCAATTTTGGGTGGTGATACATTATTTGAACTTAGAACATCGTTTCAACTTGCCGAATCGGAAAGAGAAGGTGGAATTTCACCAAGAGTATCCCCGATGACCAATACACGAGACATTGGTAGTTTGTTATCTCGTGCTGGATTCAATTTGACTACTATTGATACTGATGATATTGTCGTAAATTATCCTAGCATGTTTGAGCTGATTCAAGATTTAAGATCAATGGGCGAAAGTAATGCCGTATTGACAAGGAGACCATTTCTTAAAAGAGATACATTATTGTCCGCTTCAGCAATTTACAAAGGTAACATATTATATTTTTTATTCAGAAATGTGAAATTCTGTAATAATTAAATAAATGCATTTTTCAATTTTGAAAAGAGCTTTATGGAAACCCTGACGGATCAGTTCCGGCAACTTTTCAGGTAACTTTATATAATTTAGTTTTTATTGTTCAAAAATTCTAAAATTTATATTAATAATGATCTTTAAATTTAAATAGATTATTTATATGGTAAGTATAAAATAAATGGTCATTTAATCATATAAGATTGGTTCATTAATAATTTTAATTTAGATTGGATGGAAACCCGATGTTTCACAACCAAAACCTTTATCTAGAGGATCAGGTCAAGTATCATTAAAGGAAACATTAAAAGGTGGTGATGGTAAAAGTAATAAAAGTAATGATAATTAAATTATTTTAAATTAAAAATATTTTCCTTTTATCTAAATTAGATAATTTGTAATATAGAAATTATATAAAAAAACATTTTATTAGTATAATTCAATAATTAGTAGAAAGGGTAGTGAAGTAAATTGTAATAAAAAAAAACTATATATTCAGACTGTATAATATGAATATCAGTATCACTCAAACTGCTGACGGTGGGGTTCGAACCCACGCATGTTTACACATACCAGAACTTAAGTCTGGCTCCTTAGACCACTCGGACACGTCAGCTTATGACAAATATATTTCAAATTATTTTAATTTGAATGAATTTTTTATAAGAATTAAAAAATTTTCTTATCAAGTATAATGTATTACTATTACCAATATTATTGTCTGTAATTAATAAAAAAAAGAAAAAGTAAATACTTGTAAATATTTTCATTAACTAAATTACTAAATTTGATTATGATTAGCTATTTCAAATTCATTAAGAAGAAGTTTAAGATCAGCTGGTATTATAAAGAATTAAACTGATACCTTGCTCTACTATGTAACAATTATATTAAATTATAGCAAGCTTATTTCCAAAAGTTTTTAGTATTATAAGCAATAGTATAAGATTATTTATCTATTTAGACTAATGTAAACAAGCATTTTCAGTTACAAGCAATATTATAACATGTACAAAAAATAGATTGCATTTAGAAACTTTTCATATATTACTATATTCAAAAGTAAAAAATAAAAAAGTAAATGATTAGTAATAAAATTTTCATAAATAAATAAAATTTTATATTTCAAAATTAATTGTTACCAATTATATATATTAAATCAAGAATTTTTTTTTTATATATAATAAAAATAATAAAAAAAACTGTAGCTAATATAATTAAAAAAAATAAGATTACAAAAGAAAAATATATAAAAAAAGTAAGAAATAAAATGGTAAGCAAAATAAAGTTGCAGGATAGTAATAAACAATACTGTATTTCTTTTATCTTTATTTTCTGATTTTTCATTTTGACTACTAAAATTTTATAATATTATAATATATTTTATTAATATTTTTTTTAATTCATCAGAATTCAGAAAAACATATCAGTATATTAAACAATTATTATAATCTTAAATTACTTTTTGAATTATTTTTTTTTGAGTTTTTTTAGTAATAATTATTTTTGATCTAATCAATACTATTAGAAATCCTCCTATAATACTACTTTTTATTTTACGCCAATTTTATTATTAAGAATTCCAGAAACCTTTATTAAAGCAAATTCTAGTTTCATTGAATTATTGTATTTATCTATTTGTTGTTATTTACAATTGACAATTTCATTTATAGTTTTTATATAATATAATCTACGTAATAATTCATCTTCTGATTTATCTATCAATTCATTATCTAGTATAGTTAAATCTTTATATAATAGATTTTCAATATCATAATTTTTTTTTCTATAAAAGTTAATACTATCACCATATACTAAAATGTCAATAAATCCAAATCTGTTATAATCCTTCTTTTTATTTACATCAATAATTAATTGCACTTTTAATATATAATATTTAAGTAGTATCAATATTTACAGCAATTTATAAAGAACTTTTATTATAAAATATTACTACTATAGTTTCTCTTCCATAAACTTTATAAAATATTTCAATGTATACATACGTACAGTCACACCACTATAATATAAGTGTACTCTTTATAAGTGCATCCTCTTTATATACATGCCATAACTTAGTCCTAAGCTAGGAACTTAAAGCTAAGTGTATTATCCTTTATGTTTTATACGTATAAGTTCAGATATATTTTAGTTATTCTTTATTAATTGTAACCATTATTGTTTTAGCTCCATACAATTCTTAAATAAATAGTTTAGTCAGGATAATTTTGAATATTTAACTTTAATAATATCTCTTTATTCTTTTTTTTTGTCACTATAAATAGGTGAAGGGAGTAGTAATAGCTTTTTCTTTATAGGTATTAATCTGTTTACAGAGGTTATAGAGAAGGGACTTATAAAATATTAAAATCAATAGATATATATATGGGTATATAAGTATATATATACAGGATTCTGACTACTATTAAGATAGGTCATCCTGTAGTTTAAAGTAAGGTTTACATATAAATCTCTTTAAAGATCCTACTATAAAAGGAAATTTTATGTTACATTGTTATGATTTTTTTTCTTTTTAGTTAATTAACCAATAGAATTTAAGCAAATCCTAAGGTAAAGTTTCATATGAAAGTGAAATTTCTACCGGTAACATATTTTAGTAGTAGCGGGTCCTATATATACATTTAAAAAAATATATATATATAATTATTTTAGAAAAAAGCTTTCTATAGTGCATAACACCTAAAGGCATCAATGGTCCGAAATTTATTTTTATGCTGATCATTACTAAATAAAGTTAGATTATTACTAAATTTGGTAATAAAGATGTTGATCATTTTATGTATTATAAATTAAATAGTTAAAATTATTTTCACGTGATTAAAAATTCTGAATTTTACCCATTTACATATAAAATTATATAAATTAATATGAAAATCATCAACTTTAAATCTTAGTAGCTCCTAAAATATAATAGTTATAGAAAAAATAATCTGATAATTTGAAAGAGAAGAATTTAAAGTATAATATTATTAGTTTATATTTTCAATTATCATAAAATTTTATTAAGTAGTTAACATTTTAAAATCACTAATTTTATTTGATGTCTTTAGATGTTATGCAGCATATTTATATTAATTTATGTATTACTTATATTATATGACATCAAAATTAATAATTATCTGCAACTTCTGCAGTAACAAAAAAAAATCAAACTTTTTTTTAAGTAAAAACTTAATTTTTTTCTTTTACAGCCTTCAATTTCTTTTGCTTTCCTTCAATTTCATTCTTTTTTCCTTTTATTTCTTTTTTTTATTTCTTTCACCCTTTCCTCTTCTTTTTTTCTTATCAGAATCTTTTAAAAAAACAAAATGGTAAGTTTTGAAGCATTTATTTTGAAATATTATTAAAATTATTTTTTTTCAATTTCTTTTATATATATTTTTGTAGGTTAGAGAGTTTGAAATTGAAAACTTTAAAATGGTAAGTTTCATAGTATTATAAAACTTGGATTTATTTTATTAGAAAACATTTCCTTTTTTTTTGTAAGGTTTGTTTCTTAGAATTTAGAAATTCCAAGATGCACCTATATTAAAGAGTAACAGATATATTAAAACTTGGGCTAGAATTATATAACTAGTAAAGGAATAATTGAATAGTGTTGCCACTTAGCAATTTAATTATATAAAGTTTCATGGTAATTGGTAAGTAATCAGTTTCATCTATTTACTGTTAATTCTTTTAACTTATAGATCAATAATCAGCTAATTGGATAAATGAATGCTTCAGAACATTCAATTCAAATTTATGCTCTCATCATCGCTGATGAACTAATACATCTCATATTAGCATATGAGGCACCAATTATGTCAGCTAGTTGGAACATGTGCAATATAAAGATTGCTTATTATACAATGTTAAGGTATCTGGAAAAGTTAAATTCTACCAAAACAATGTTGGCCAATCTCAACAATAAGAGAGCAAGATTATTGTGCTGTGAAACTAGAAGAGAAATATCTGTTCCATCTTCTTTTCTACTAATTGTGACAATGCTGCAAAAAAGAAAGTGAAGTGAAAAGAATGAACTTTTTTTATAGCATATTGATTTTTCTATACATACTTGTACTTTTATTATTTGATTTGTAACTCTTACACATAATACATGTACTGTTGTTAAATGTTAATTAGCTACTAAGTTCTAAGTCAAAATTAATACAATTTTATCCCTGTATCATATAATTCATATTATTCCTTAAAATTTCTAAAACTAATTTGTTTCCATTATGATTAATGCAGAAATAAATTATCCCATTTTAAATTGTAAAGAAAAGCACTTTCAAGAAATTTTTTTTCAAAACAAATCAAAGTGATATATTTCACCAACAACACAAATATATTTCTTGGCAGGGATTATCAATAGCGATCCATGGCAAAAATATGTGCCAGCAAAAATCATGACGAAAGCAACGCAAAATGTTTTGTGATACGATAAAATAAACTCCCAGCAAAAATTGTAGCACAGGGCCGGCATTACGGCATTATGAAATAAACAGTTTTAAGTTATAAATATTTGGTAAGAAGTATTTATTTATTATTATAATGATAACTAATTTAGGAAAAATATTACAATTTGCAATAGTAAGTAGAATTAAAAGATTAATTTTTAAGAATCTGTACCTTTAAAAAGTTGATTAGAATGAGTATGTGAAGTATAATATCTTAATTTTTGAATAAATAGGCTAAATCTTTTGGTTTGCATTTAAGAAGTATTTAAAATTGATAAAAGGCAAAATCCAGTGACTTTTTCAGTCATATTATTATCTTTTCTTAACATTGAGTTTAAAAACTTAATAAAAGTGGTTTATTTCAGAATGTACAAACATTTTGATCTGTTTTAAAATATTACACAAGTTGATTACAATTTTATATGACGTAAATGCTTTTAAGTATTAAAGCCACCTACTTACCAAAAATGGTTATATCACTTTTTATATCACGACATCGTACGTATTTATCTTACTCAAATGGTGTTTTCATAAAGTTTGCCTCTTTCCCCTATTTTTTTTTTTTTTTTNTTTTTTTTTTTTTTTTTTCTTATTAACGAAAAAATGACTTCAAAATTATCAGTAGATATTTTATCTATGATATTTGAAGAGTTAGAAAAAGAAATTTCAACATTATATTCATGTGTATTTGTTAATAGAGAATGGTGTCAATTAGGAATACCAGTTTTATGGAAAAATCCTTGGAAAATATTTAATGAAATAAATTGGATGAACTGTGATAAATATGAAGATGCAGAAATTCGATATAAGATATTGTTTAGAAATTTTTTAATGTTGATGACAAAAGAACAAAAAGATTTTTTAAAATTGAATGGAATAGAATTTTTACTTGAAAATTCTACGACAAGTTTAAAAAAAATAAACAAGAAATCAGTTAATATAGTTAATTCTAATGTTTTATCTAATGAAAATTATAAGATTGGAAGATATTATAAAACTACAAGTGAACCATTAAGAAATGATCGATCTAATAATAATAATAATAATAATAATTTATTACTATTATCATCACAAACAAAACCTTTATTTAATTATGCGAGCTTTTGTAAAACGATAGATTCAGGAAAAATTAATTTTATGGTATATCATAATATTAAGGATAAGGTGGATTATCATGAATATTTAGTTGAACAAGAAATTTTAAAATTATTAATTAATAATACATCAAAACTTAAATGTCTTATTATGTGTTATAAATCACATCCTATAGCACTTTATCCTAATTCACATATATCATTATCACAATTAAATGAATTACATTGTAATGCATCAATAGAATCCACGGTATTTTATGGTTTATCACAATTATGTAGAAATATTGAAAAATTAATTATAGAAGGATATAATGATGGAAATGATGGATTAATAACATTTATTAAACAACAAATTAATTTGAAAAAAGTGAAATTTTATGAAGAAGATGATGAACCTTATGCTCAAGGAAAATGTAGTAGAATTGGTTACGCTCTTACAACAAAAGCTTCAAGTATAAAAGAATTGGATATTGGTAAAACTGCAATAACATTTCCACCATCATTATTAGAAAATTTTCAAGATAATTTAACAATATTTAAATTTGGTATTAATTATGGTACAATTGAAGCAACATTAGCGGATGAGTTAGAATATGTATTAAGAAATATTTCAATACCAAATTTACAACAATTAATTATTTATAATACTTGTCCCCCTTTCGATATTATAGCAAAAATTATAGAAAAATCCAAAGGTGATATAAGAAAAATTAGTATTGGAGCTTATGATAGTGATAAAGACGATGATATATTAATTTCTTCAATAGCAAAAAATTGTCCTAAATTAGAATATCTTATGATTTGGATAGGTGAGAATTTGAATGAATTAATTGAATTATTTAAAGGATGTAAACAATTGAGAGGATTAGTATTACAATTTATTTGGACCATCATCTTAAAAAGAAAAAACGTTGATGAATTATTAGAATTAATTTGTGATAATGCTTCGAAACAATTAAGAAAATTTAAAATGATAAGTGATTGGGAAATTTCTAGAGATGCTTTAGAAAGATTTTTAGATAATTGGAAAAAACAAAAGAGGAATTCATTGGATCTTTGTATTACTAAATCATTAATTCCTAATAAAGGGAAAAATTATTATGATGATATTATTAGTAAACATAAAGAAACGGGAGTAATAAGGAACTTTGAATATGAGGAATATATTGATTTTGATGCATGTATTGATGAAAATTTTTTAGAAGATTGGTGGTGAGGAGATCTGTGAGTGAGGACGAAGAGGAGAGAGGAGGGTAAATAAGAGGTTGAGTGTGAATAAGAGATTGAGTGCGAATAAGAGGTTGAGTGCGAATAAGAGGTTGAGTGCGAATAAGAGGTTGAGTGCAAATAAGTGGTTGAGTGTGAATAAGAGGTTGAGTGTAAATAAAAGGTTGTGTAAAAGGTGCGTGTAATGTAAAAGTGTGCGTAAAAGTGTGCGTAAAAGATTGTGTGTAAAAAGCGTTACGATTTAGTGTTATAAATTAAAATACCGTATTAATTCACGTAATTCACGTATTTTTTATTGACGTAAAATGTTTATGAATGTACAGTAATTACAAATAATATATGTGTAACTATTTGATATAATTGAGGAAAAAAAAAAAAAAAAAAAAAAAAGGATATAACGTTACGTATATTTGTAATATGGAGACCCGAATATTTCTTCTATTTAAATAAAATAAAAAATATACAATTAGTATACTGTATATAATATATAATCTAACATTATTATACTACTATATATTATACATACCATAGGCAGTATATTTAAAATTTTTAACTTCATTTATTTTAAAAGTTCTCGAATTCCATAATTCCTTTTTATCCAATAAAATGAATTCTTTTAATAAAGATTTTTCCAATCTTAATTCTTTTAATGTATAATTAAATTTTTCATTAAATTTAATAAAAATATTTCTAAAATTTTCATTAATATCCGATATATTTAATAATTCCATTATTAATAAATTTGATAAATGAGAATTATTTAATAAATCTTCCAATTCAACTTGATCAATTTCACTATCTAAACCAAAAAATTTTAAACTATTAGGTAAACAAGATTTTAAAGATAAAGAAATATATCTAACTTGTAAATATAAAGAAATTAAAGGTAAATTTTTAATAATATTTAATAAAAGATCAGAATATTTTTCCAATGAAATATGAAGATGAGTTATATTTGGACAAAATGATTTAATACTAGATAAAATTATAGGATTGATTCTTCTAGAATAAAATTTTTTTAAAGAATGATTGGTAATTCGAATAATAGTATCAATTAATCTATAAGGAATATCTCTTTCTTCAAGATAAATATTTTGTACTTGAGACAAATAATTTTGTGGAATTATCATATTTGATAAAGTTGAATCGAATTGTTCAAAAAAAAGGAATCTTTTAAATTCCAAGGTACGTAATGAATGAATTTGTTTAATAAATTTAAAAAATGATTGGTTAAAATTTATTAAAGTAAAAAATTTAATAAATTTTAAAGAATTTGAATGAGAAATTAATGAATTAAAAATCATTTCAGTAGAACATTTCATCCAAAATTCGTTTGTACTAAAACTTTCCAAAGAATTTTGTGATTTAATAAGATTAATTATAGAAAGATCCAAATCTGTTGAATTATCAGAATTTTCTGTGATTGAAATTAAATTATTATTATCAATCATATAATAATTAAAAGTTGTTGACATTGTTGTCGATGATGTTGTCGAATTGGTCAAAGTCGTCGTCGAAGACGTCGTAGGAGTTGTCGTCGTTGTCGTCATCGTCTTTGTTGACATTGTCTTTGGAAAATATAATGATAAATGTTTAATATTTCTTGAAGTTTTTGACATTTGATTAAATAATTTTGGTAAAATATTAGAATACATTTCTTTTGAATATCCATGTCCAAGAAATTCAAATGTATTAATTAATGATAAATTTAAATTTGATAATTTTTTCAAAAAATCAATACGTGAAATTTCAATATAATTAACATATTTAAATTTTTTTAATGAACAATTATCATTAAATATTAAATCCATCATCATATTATCAACAATTTGTTGTGCTCTTAATAAATTCTCATTTTGAAAATTTTCTTTAACCCATTTCTTTAATCCAAGTGTATAATTATCTATAACAAAACTTTCTAAAAATCTTGGATAATAAAATAATGATTTCATATTTATTAAACAATTTTTTAATCCCAAATTTTTTAATATTACTTTATCTTGTATATTAAGACAAGTAATATATGTATTAATTATTTTATAAGTATATGATTGTGAATAATATTTAAATGGTGAACTCCATAATATTGGTATTGCTAATCTACACCATAATCTATTCACTCTTATACATGAGAAAAGAGTTTTTCGATCATACTTTAAGTATGAAAATATTTCAAGTAAACAATCTGGTATAAGGTTTACACATGGTCGTGTTAAACACCTTTTAGGTGTTATCATTAATGCAATGAAAAAAATTATTGATTTCGTTAAATTTCTTGGTTCTAGAAAAAAAAAAATTTTTTCTTTTAGGGAATTTATTAAAATTTTATAAAAAAGAAAGAAAGAAGAAAGAAGAAAAAAAAGGAAAGAAATAAAGATATATATATACTTACTTAAATCCATAGTATAAAAAAAAAAAAAAAAAATTTTTTTTTTTTTTTTTAGAAAATAAAACAAGAAATAAGCTAAGCCAAGAAAACAATGGAAATCTTTCATATATTTATATAAAAATAAATTTCCCCCCAACTTTGATATCTAATATAAAAATTAAAGTATTACCAAGTGCAGATAGATTACATAAAAAGTTGCTTATTTCCATAAAGATGTTGGGATGGAATAAAATGGTTAAAATGTTAAATGCGGGTAAAGTTAAAGAAATAATATAAGGCAGTGTAACCAAAAATTTTTTCGCCAAACCGCACTTGACAAGTTCATCAAGTATATAATCAAGTAATTTAAATGCCTTTTACTATTAAATTTTGGTTGTGCGGCAACGTGCGTTTAACGTGAGCGTTACATAAGTAAATCATGATCATGCATGAATTATTGTTTGAATGTTGATCTTCTTTACAAAGGTGATCTTTAGAGTTCAAAAAGATTTACCAGTTATCCAGTTAACCTTGCCACGCGTTATCGACGGTTTATTGATAATTATATTGATAATTATATAAATAATTAGTTACCAAAATAAATAATATTTTATTTGTAGAATTTTCTATTTAAAGAATGAATTAAATTCAGTGATGATTATTATCTTAAATCTCAAACTTTGATAAAAGAAATGAATGTAATTATAGTAAACAATCACTTGAAAATTTGCGTTATTACCTGCGGTATCTACCGGTTAACCGCCACTAACGAACTAACGATCGTAGCACAAAAATAATGATAATCATAATAAATTACGTTTTAAAAAAAGATTATCGTCAAATATTTGAAATTATTTAATTGGATTAGTGTTTCACAACTTAAACGTGTTCTAGTAATCAAATGATGTGATTTTTAAACAATTGATGATACAAATACTGTATGTGTTGTTAATGTTGGTAATGGAGAATTCAACCTTCGGATTTAAATCCGATTTCCCCGATTCGATTTATATATAAATGAAGGAACCGGATATAATAAATCCGAATACAATGATCAAACTGAATATAATAAATTCGGAAATCGAATGTTCGGTTCCTCGAATAACCAAAAGGAATTGAATATCTTTGTTTCATCGAATAATCCGAGGAAACCGGTTATATTATAAATCCGGATTTAAAAAATAAATCCGGTTCAACAAACTTATTTTAAACTTGTCGATAATTTCTTGATATTAATCTTACAAAACTAAAAATGACAGAATGGTCAATTGATATCAAAAAAACACCCTGTAGATCTCGTAGATTGGCGATCAAAAAATAAAACATTTGACACAGCGTAGTCAGCTTACGTGTTATTTGATCCAATTTGTATATTATACACAAAAATTTTATTGAAATATATAAAAAAAAAATATAATACAAATCTTCAAAATCTCTAAAAAGAAATAGTATTATTATAAATAAAAACAAAAATTATGATTATTCAATGTTTCGAGAAACTCTCTTCCTGAAAACAATTCTTCTTTTTCCATTTACAGAATTTCTTTTGTGATTTCTAAATTCCCTTTCAATCCTATCAATATCGTTTAATAATTCTTCGCTAGCATCAGCAACATTTTGTTGTTGATTATTATCATCAACAAAGATAACTGTTGCAATCCATCCAGCGATAATGGAAACTTCAAAAAAACTTTTTGATACAATACTCCATAATATATCAATAACAAAAAAGAATATCATTAAAGGTATAGTAACATATAATAAATTCCATATACTTCCTTCATTTTCAATTTTTGATTTTTTTAATTTATTTATTTTGTTTCTGGGTTGAACTTGTTTTTCGTTCGCGTCTATAGAATCTGAAGAATCAGAAATTGTCATTTTTTTGGAAGTTATTTCCGTGGTGGTAGTTGGAGGTGAAGCAATTTCAGATAGATTTCCAGTATTTCTTAACCAATCAATATTTAATGTTACTAACTCCTCATTTAATGGAGGACATTTACTTAATATATAAGTTCGTGATTTTGTGTTTACTATATCTAACATGGCACGTACTGTTGATGTATTATTCAAATATCTCTTAAAATATTCATTCAAAATCATGAAATTTCCTTCATCATAAATTCCATCAGTAACACCACCTTCAAGTTTTTCTAACCATTGTTCTAATTCAATCCTTTGAAATTTCATTCCAGCAGATTCTTCTAAAATATCCAAATAATTTTTCCACGTAATTGTAGAATTTGGATTTGATACGTGAAAAACTTCAACTCTACTAAGTCGATTTTCAGTTATAACTAAATCTACTATAGATTTTGCGGCAATATCTACCGGAATCCAATCTAATTTCTCTTCAAATACGGGAATTCTCCCAGTTATACCAGCATTTCTTAATAATAAAGGTATCATATCATTTGGACTCCAAACACCACTTTTCGAATTACAAGTAAGTTGAGATGTTCTTATTATACTAACACTTTCTAATTGTAAATAATCAAAAGTGTTAATTAAAATTGTTTCTAATATTAAATTTGTTAATCCATAACCATCCCCTGTTGTAATTGAAGCTTTAAGAGGAATGATTCCTTCAGGAACTTTTTCCCAAGGTCCATTTAAACAACAATCCAATGAAGATATAAAATGAAATTCTTTTTGTGCGCTAAATAATAATAAATTTGCAGTTCCTAATATAAAATTATTTTCATAATGAATTAATATATTATTAATATTATTATTATTAGAAAATTTTGAAGATATTGAAATAGAATAAATTCCATGTATTACTGAAGTAACTTTTTGAGATATTTCTTCATATTGTTGTACAGTTAAACCTAAATATGGTTCTGATAAATTAGATGATAAAGCTATTAATTGTTTTGAATCAATTAAAGAACTATCAAAACCATAACGTAAGAATGCACGTTTTAATGATGCTTTTGGACTTTGAGCTTTCTTTCTTTTAACCAAACAATATATAATTGAATCAGAATGACACAATAAAATGTTAAGTATATGAGCACCCAAAAATCTTGTTGCACCTGTCAATAAAAAAACTTTTTGTTCAATAAACAATTCTTTCAAACCAACTTTAATTGAAGTATCACTTGATTGTTGAGTATCACTTGATTCAGTTGATTGTTGAGTATAATTTTCTTTTATATACAAAGTATGTTTATCAACTAAATCTTCAACTAAACATTGTAATTTTTCTTGATCTTCTTCTAATTCGTTTGGTAACTTTTGTTTTTTCTTATTATAAGAATTTTCACCACCACCTGACATTATATCTAATATAAATTGCGTTATTAAATCAATTGATAAATTATCTTCAATAAAATTGTCAGGAAGTTCAATGAATGATGGAAGAATATCAGCTATTCTCTTTAAAAATAATTTTAAAGTATTAGAGTCCATTCCTAATTTCATTAAAGAAGTAGTATGATCATCTAGTTCTTTTAGTGAAACTCCCATTATCATTGCAGCCGTAAATTGTAAGTAATTTCGAATATCTATATCATTTAATCCGGCATACCTACTACGATTAATATTGGATGATTTTTTTTGAGTAATTGAAGAAGAAGATGATGATAGAGACGTTGTGTTATGTGAATAATTTTCAAATATCATATTATTATTTGACGAAGTTATTGGTGTTGTGGTTGGAGAATAATTTTCGATTGTCACATTATTATTATTATTATTATTATTATTATTATTATTATTATTATTTGATGATGATGATGATGACGAAGATGATGAAGGCGATGACTGAGCTGTATAAACTTGTACTTCTGTTAACACTTCTACAATATCTGATTGTATCAAATCATTTATTTCTTCATTTTCTCCATCAGAATTAATTTTTACTTCTTTTGTAGAAGTTGATTTAATATCTTCAGTAGAAATAGAAATTACTTCTTTTTGTTTTCCTTTATTGACCTCGTTTATTGATGATGATTCAGTAGATTCAGTAGATTGTATTTCTTCTAAATTATCATCTCTGTTAAAACCTTCGAGATTTATTTGATTATCGGTTGTGATTATCTCAGCCATGATAAAGTGAAAGGAGTAAAGTGAAATGGTAAAAAATATGTTAATACAGTATATGTATATATTAAATCCCCTTTAATAATATATTAATTTATATAATTTAGGAATTTGAATATTTTTTTTTTTTTTTAAAAAAAAAAAGGAGAGAAGAAAAAAACAATAAAAAATTAAAATTTTATTCTTTTTACATTAAAAAGTTGACTCTATTCCTTATTTATATACTTTTTTTTTGTACCTAATGTTTTTGTACTCAAGGGGATATGACAACGCTAATACAAAATTGAAAACTTTTATTCTAAATTTGGATAGATTATAAAGGTAATCTCTAAATACTCTAATTATTTGCCATGTGGTCTCAATTTGGTATTTTTTTTCCAGTGTCGCACATTTTTAGAACTCTCAATAGAGTAATTTATTTTATGTAATAAAATATATTTGGTTATAAAGATTTGTAATTAACGGGAAATTAAATAAACTAAATATCACAAGACTTCTAAAATTAGGATTATAAATTTGATTGGAAATAATTTAAATTATTATATAATGAAAGTTAAAAATCATTTGTATCATATTTTGTGCTTTCGGGCGATCTTAAATAAATTATGAGCTATTTATGGTATAAGCTCGGCGAATATTGGCGTATTTTAAAATGAGTTACATAAACCAACAAAAAAAAAGTTTGAAAAAACTGTTGGAAACAATGCAATGTAAATGGTTTTTTTAACATCTGAAAATCAAATATATTTAACTATTTTTCATAAATACTGTAAGTAGATTACAATATAATATTATAATATATAGTTATGTATAAAACGGAATTTTATGGAATTTATGGAATTTATGCTTCCCACGATCCTTTTGTCTACCCGGTTTGTGTTACACGTGAAGACATGGCGTCATGGTAAGTGGTAACTCATGTCACACTCTCACTCATCACAGGTGAGTTGTCACACCTCATTATAAGCTGCGCCATGGAACAAAAACTGGCGCAGGTGCTCTTTCTCCATTCGATTAGTATCTTTTTCGAATTGAATGAATTAAATCCATCTTTTAATGAAATGATTAGGAAAGTTAAGAATCATATGATTATATTTAAACAAAGATTTAATACATAATATATTTGATTAAAAGATGAATTTTTTTTTATTATTCAAATTATTTCAAATATGAATAATATAAATATCAAAATAAGTAATTTTTTTTTGTAAATATTAGATTGATTCAATTCATATTTATGAAAATAATGATTTATTATAATAACTAAATTTTTATAATCAAAAAATAATAAATTAAAAGATAATTTCTTTTGAATTACCATTTTAAATATGATAAAATTAATTGAATTTAAACGCGTAACGAAATGTATTTAAATTTAATTTGATAATAAAGTTTTTTTTACGAGATTTTTTAAAATAATTAAAATTCGATTTGTGTTGAACATTATGCAAGCAATGCACAGATAATTGTGTTACATTATAATCGGCATCGGAATCACACTCCGTATACTAAAACTGTATCACCAAAACAGAGATAAAAATGTGGTAACATGAGCAATTTTTTGGCGAAAAAAAAAAAAAAAAAAACTTTCCCCTTCAAAAAATAAAAAACATTAAAAGAATGACTTTATCTTTATTACCAGATGAATGTTTTAATAATATATTATTTTTTCTTGATTATAAAACATTATATAAATGTTTATTAGTTAATAGATATTATTGTAAATTTTCCATTCCTTTAATTTGGAGAGACCCTTTTATACCACCAATTCCTAATAAATGTTCATTAATAAATACATTAATTTCATGTCTTAATGATGAAGAAATTTCATCATTAAAATCATGTTTAATATATTTTGAAATAAATAATAATACACCACCATTATTTGAATATGGAAGATTTATTAGAAAAATTGATCATGATTATTGCGTAAATCATATTAATTCATGGATTAAATCCAAATCATCCAATAAAAATATCAAGAATAATAATCAAGATTATTATAATAATAATAATAAAGATTCTAAAGTTAGAAAATTAACAAGTATTATTTATAATATGATTATGAGAAAAGGATCAAATTTACAAGAATTTGTTTTATTTATAAATTCAAGAAATTATTATATTGATTTACCAAAATTTTCAATTTTTACAATTTATAAACCTGGAATAACAAATTTAACATCTTTAAGTATAGAAGTTTATTTTGATTTGGTTGATGATGATAAGAGATATCAAAATACTATTGAATTTTTATCTAATGTATCAAAATTTTGTAATTGTATAATTAATTGTGAATTTTGGATATCAAATTTAAGTAATGCTTTAACAAAACCATTTTTGGATATTATTAAATTACAACCATTAGAAAGAATTTTAATAGATACTTATACTGATAATTATATTGAAAAGGAGAATGTTGAAAAAGTTATACACGCTTTGGAATTTCGTTCTAAAACTTTAAAACAATTATTATTTAGGAGTTTGGATTTTCAATTAATTGATTTATCTTTTCTATCAAAATTAGAATATTTAGAAAATCTTGAATTTGTTCAATGTAGAGGTTTCGTTTTACAATCCTTATTTTATAATAAGAAATTTAATTTTAAACAATTAAAATTATGGCATGATGAAGATTATTATTATGATTTACTTAAGGATTATGGGAAAAAATTATCAAATATTATGGTTGTCATGTTAAATTCTTTTTGTAGTAAATCTTTACTCAAATTATCTTTAAATATTATTACTCCTGATTCTATTAATGCGGTAAAACTTTGTTGTCCTTATATTAATTCTTTAAATATTAAAATTTTTTCTGATCAATCTTTAGATTTAATTATTCCAATTATTTGTCATTTTAATTTATTAAAAACTTTAAAAATTGAGATTTACGATGGTGTTGTTAATATTGTAAATTTAGTAGAAATTTTGGCTGATCATTTATTATTTGTTGAATATTTAATTTTGGATTTTAATATTGATTTATCTTCTTTTCAATATTTTATTATTAATTGTAAAGCAAATTTTAAAAAATGGATCATTTATATTGATAATAATAATAGAAAAGATTATTTATTACATGTTAATAATTATCAAAAGATTCATAATTCTTTGAAAATTTTGGGAATTAATAAATTTTATAATCGTGATTTTGATTGGACGAATGATGAATTGGAAGTTATTGGTTATTTAAAAGATCAAGGTGTAGATATTATTTCATCTGATGAATTGGATATTAATTATTTATCATAAAAAATATTATTATTATTATTATTATTATTATTTATTATTATTATTTATTATTATTATTATATATATATATATATGTATGTATAGGTACCGTATTTTTATTAAAATAAATATTCCATTCAAATTAGCATTGGCGCGGACTTGTAATTATAAGGTACAATAATTTACGATGATAGATTGTTCTATAATATTTTTAATATTTTTTTTTTAACCTCCTTTCTTTCCTTACCCCTAACTTCACGCGTGAATCAGTATGACTGTGAGAGTATTCATATGGTTGATCTCGTACATATTATTCCATAACATTCCATAACAATTAACAAATACTCATGATATACTGTACTACTCATCATATCTTGATAAATTCTATTTTTTTTTTTTTTTATATCGGTCATTATTAATCATGATAAATTCGGAAAGGTTTTTACAAATATATATATATATCCTTAAAATTTCTCAAAATTTCTCTCACACTTCTTTCTTTAACACTTCTTTCTTTTTTATCGCTTAAACACTTCTTTCTTTAACACTTCTTTCTTTAACACTTCTTTCTTTTTTATTGCTTTAAATAATTGTCTTCTAAATGATGATGTCAATAAATTGTTTAATCCTAGGAAAAACTTCTTTTGTTGATACTTTTGCGGTTAACATTGCTAAAGAAAGCGACATACTTGGTTCTTTGGTCAAATTTGATGATTTAAAGATTTCAGACCTCAAGTATCTTATCTATAATTTGGAGATTAATGGTACTAAGTTTAATTATAAGAATATTGGCCTTTGGAAGGTTGACATCGCTTACGATAAAAGTTACATGCTTGAATATGTTACTACCGAAGATGATATTAAATTAAAACTTGGGGGCGAGCTGTTGATACCCATCTTCTTGGTTAAGGAATATTTTAAAAATCTTATCCAGAGTAATATTCACGTCATCGTACAAATGCCCGCTGCTGCCGCTGCTGGTAAGTGTCTCCCAATTTTTTACCTCTCGAACAAGAAATTTTGCAATAAGAACATATTGATTTGGTCTGATCTCATTTTTTTTCATGTTAAAGGTTCTCATAAACACTTGAAGATGAGTAAGTTGCACATGATTAAAGTTCATTAAGTGTTGTTTCATGATTTTCTGGACCTAACATTTTTTTTTGTGTAGACCGCTGCTTCTGTCCTGCTAACCGTCTAGACCCAGAAAACAACTTTTATGTTAAGCCTAAAGAACTTGTTGAGAATCTAGGTAATTGCATCGTTGAGGGCAAGTTCTGTCTGTTTTATGGACATCGACAAAGTGGCAAAACAACTACTGCTTGGGAACTAAAACGTTGGATTGAAACTAATAGCAAATATACAGTTTGTTATTTAAACTTTAACAGTGGAATTGTAACTAATAAAGGTCTTTCTGAGTTCTGGCGGTTCGTATGCTTCAAAGTGAAGTCTGTTATGTCTGCTTGTGTAGATAAAGTGGTTTTCTCTACTTTATTGAAAGAAAAAATAGAAGCAAGTGCTTTTGAAAAAATCTTTAATAAAGACAATACATCATTGAGAGATATAATCTTGATTATAGATGAAGCCTCAAGACTAATTAATGATAATGACGAAACTTCACAGCCAATTATTAATGATTTTATAGCTTCTTTGCGGGTTCTTAGAGACCAAAGAGGAGATATTTCCATTGTACATTCTGTAGTGCTCATCGGCACTAAAGTCATTAAGAATTTTCTGTTTACTCAAACTCAACAATCAAAGAATTCTACTTCAGAAATTTCACCATTTTCAGCTGAGGGTGTCTTCAATTCAGCTCAGTTTACTAATTTAGAGGTCAAGAACCTTCTTGCTCAATATGCTGAGGATAATAAGTTTGAAATTGATGTAGACAATATTGCTGCAGATGTTTACTCTTTTACCCTTGGACACAAGGGTCTTGTCGGTGCCTGCTACTATTATTTTGAGCAAAAAATCATGTCTGAAGCTATCCAAGCAACTCTCGATGACTGGGAGAAGCATGTTCCAATTCTGTTACCTCAATATATAAAGGAACTAGCAAAATATTGATCCATTGTTATTGGTCTCGAAGCCCTCAGTGAGAACGAAAGGGAGATCCTTGAGGAGGTTCTTCGCTACGGAAATAAGAAAGTTTCAATGGTAAAGTCCAATTACTTTGTTGTCAGATTTTGTAGATGTGTTATATTATATTATTCACATTTTTTTTTTCACTTAGGACGAAGATGATGTTAAATTCCTTCTTGCAGAAGGAATGGTTGTTGTAATTTCAAACTATGAAGATGGAACGGATTTTATTGGGTGTGCTGCACCTATTTTTCATACCATCATGCTTTCCAGCATATGTGGGCCCAATATCGTGCTTAGTTCACTACCTACCAATGCAGATCATATTGAACCCAAATGGTTGTTAGCACGTACTATTGAGGTAAATTGTTGTTCTAAATTATTTATTGTTAGTAATGAAACAGTTTGTATATATTTATTAAGAAGTACTTTGTTTCAGAACCTGTCGATCCACAATATTTTCCATGAAAAAACCTTCAATGCTAACAATGAGCATCTGAATACGCCTTTCAAGCTGAATTTCTCAGTGTTTTCAAACAACTGATTTCCATTGCCTATCCATCTTTTGAATATTGTGTTCTCCCTGAGGTCAAAGAGTGTGATGAAGGAGGTCGACGTCATCAGCGTCTGGATATTCTCATTCGTAATAAAACCTTGCCTGTTTATGGCTTTGAACTCTTTGTTGCATGCAGCAAGCGAGACAGTATTTGATAATCGCCTCAAATGTTCCGAATATTATTCTTCCATCCATAATTGCAATAAAATGTATACAATTGATATCAGTTCTAGTGAAAAGCATGCCAACTACTTCGGAAAACAAAATTACGAAAAGGTGATTCCCGTTCACGTGATCTATAATCTGAGAGACGGCAAGGCAAAACTAGTGTATGGGAGCGATGATCAGGAAGAAGTTTCAATTACCGGGATAAAGTGGCAAATGATGTAGGGTTAATATTATAGAAGATATATATGTACTTGATTTGCTTTTCAGTTTATTGAAACGTGGTGTCGTATTTTTAATAATAATGTTAGTTTTCATAATCAGTTTCCTAATTTAACAAAACTTGTTGAATTAGCTTTGGTGGGTCCAGTTTCAAATGGTATTGTTGAAAATGTTGATTCAGACATTAAATTTTCACTTACTCCTTTTATTAAATGGACCTGAAGATTTTAGTATAAATTATGACTATGAAAAGGCGTATACTTTTTGGAATGGAGTTCCCAGGTTTAATAATATTTTATTATTTATATTAAATGTTAAATGTTATTGAATAACAAATTATTTTATTAAATTATTTATTAAATTACATTATAACAATCTATAACATTCTATACTAAAGTTCTACTAAATCTATACTAATCTAATTAATCAAAAATATTAGCTAAATGTTTCTATTAAAAATAAAAAAAAAATAAAAAGAAAGAAACATTAATCAACATTTCTTTCTGTAAAAAAAGAAAAAATGGTAAAATTTCACAAAAAAACTCACCATTTTCAAATTCCAACATTCCTAATAGAATCCTTCGAAACCTACAAAAAAAACAAAGAAAAAGAAAATTTAGCGTTTCTGTTAACGTTTCTAAGTAAAAAAATAAAAAAATGTTTCAAAGTTATAACTTCGAAACTTACCAAGGATTAATCCAAAATACCGAACGGAACCTACAAAAAAAAAAGATACGAAACGTTAGTTGACATTTCGTTAAAAAAAAACCAAAAGAAACTAAGTTTCAAAGTTGCAACTTCGAAACTTACCATAGCTAACCAATCTTCGTGTCCAGAAAGTACAACCTACAATAAAAAGATATTAATAAAAAAAATTAATTTAAAAAAAAATTAAAAAAAGTTTCGAAGAGAAACTTCGAAACTGACTCAAATCTCGAAAATGATTCCTACAAAATAGATAAAAGAAGAAATGGTTAGTTTCTTCAAAACAAAACAAAAAAAATTTAATAAAAAGTTTTGAAAGTAAACTAAACTTTCAAAACTTACCAATCATATCCGTTCAGAATCTGGAAAGCTAGGTTACTGGTACCTTCAAAAAAAAGAAAAGAAAAATTAATAAAATTCAAAGTTTCAAAACTTTGAAACTTTGCTTTTGAAACTTACCGATCATATCGTCTAGAATTCAAAAAGTTTAATATCTGCAAAAAAAAATAAACAAATAAAAAATTTAAAAAGTTTTGAAATTTTCAATTTATTCAAAGATGCCGACCTACAAGCTACAAAAGAAGATCCCAATGTCACCGGAGTCCGAGAAGTTAACGTCCGAAGTCCAAAGCTGAACGTCCGATATCTACAAAAAATAAGAGAACATGAATAAAACACCGAGGTTACCAAGTGTAAAAGGGCGACCCTATTATAGAACTTTCTGATCTGATTATTCAAAAAAAAAACTTTTAAAAAAAATGCATGCACGTTGCCCTACTTACATACCTGTCTGTAAAGTACAGTTCGTCTAATTCCAAGAAGTTGTCTAATAAAACGATGAACTGGACTTTTGAAAGGTAGGTTTTTTATTCTTTTAATTGTATTAAAAAAACATTTTTAACAAAACATCTTTTTTATTACAGAAACACTTTTTTTATTTCTATTTTTCTAAATGTATTAAGAAACATTTCTAACGAACTGTTCACTTTTTTTTTAAAAAAAAAATATACCTTACGAAGTCTGGTGGTTCGTAAGTAAAGATTTTTTTTTTTATCGAATTTAAAAAAAAAAGATTATCGATCAGTAAATCGGATCGATAAGTCACATGATCGATGCCAAAATCATAGTGTGTACATCGAAGGCATCGAAGGGTGGAGCTGATTGTTTGAGGTTAGGGTTATACAGGATGTCGTATAACTGTCGTATACCTAGCAAAACAATACCTTGAATCTATTTTCCTTTTACAGCTGTTTTCATAAGACCCGGGACAAAATAAATTTTTGAACCCGACTGCCGAGGCGCCGACCCGCCGATCCGGTATTTTTAGCTGGGCACGTGATCCAGATTTGAATAACAACTGAACCGATCAGCGGGTTCAAAAATTTATTTTGTCCTGAAAACAGCTGTAAATAAAATAAAATAAAATAACCGACTGACACATAATTTGTGAAACTATCGGGAAACTTTAGTGAGACGGCTATAAAAATTTTAAAGACATTTTAGACACCAGTATCCATTTTGACATATTATACATTTTGTATTTGAACAAAGATAAATAAAAAAATTGATTTGTGTATTTTTGAACAAAATAAAGTATGAAGGTCGTATACAAAATAATATTATGAAAAAACTTGATAATTATTTGCATTAGTCAAAAACCAATATATCGGGTAGCAGATATGTATCAGATATGTACCCGATATATTGGTTTTTGACCAGTGTTGGCAATTCACCGGAGGATTGAAAATAGTATATTAAATTATTATCAAAATGTTCAACAAGTTTGGTTTCTTGGATAAAAAATTTTACTTTAGAACATAAAATAGATAATATTTATTTTGCTACTGATTACCATTAGTTTATTATAAATTTCATGTACTTTTGTCCCACCATTAATTTCTGGAAATGTTATTAAAAGTATCTTAATATTTTGGAAAAAATTATCTGAAATAATTCAACAATAAAATATACTCACGATATACTAAATTTTAAACTGTTCGGGATTTTCTTTCTATAATATTAGCCCACATCACTTGCCACTTTATCCCGGTAATCGAAACTTCTTCCTTATTGCCGCTCCCATACACTAGTTTTGCCTTGCCATCTCTCAGATTATAGATCACGTGAACAGGAATCACCTTTTCGTAATTTTGTTTTCCGAAGTAGTTAGCATGCTTTTCACTAGGGCTGATATCAATTGCATACATTTTATCGCAATTATGGATGGAAGAATAATATTCAGAACATTCAAGGTGATTATCAAATACAGTCTCGCTTGCTGCAACAGAGAGTTCAAAGCCATAAACAGGCAAGGTTTTATTACGAATGAGAATATCCAGACGCTGACAACGTCGACCTCCTTCATCACGCTCTTTGACCTCAGGAAGAACACAATATTCAAGAGATGGATAGGCAATGGAGATCAGTTGTTTGAAAACACCGAGAAATTCGGCTTGAAAGGCGTATTCAGATGGCTCATTGTTAGCATTGAAGGTTTTTTCATAGAAAATATTGTGGATAGACAGGTTCTGAAATTTCAAAGTACTTCTTAATAAATATATACAAACTGTTTCATTACTAATAATAAATAACTTAGAACAACAATTTACCTCAATAGTGCGTACCAACAACCATTTGGGATCAATATGATCTGCATTGGTAGGTAGTAAACTAGGCACGATCTTGGGCCCACGTATGCTGGAAAGCATGATGGTACGGAGAATAGGTGCAGCACACCCAATAAGACCCGTTCCATCTCCATAGTTTGAAATTACAATAACCATTCCTTCTGCAAGAAGGAATTTAACATCATCTTCGTCCTAAGTGGAAAAAAAAAGTGAATAATATAATAATACATCTACAAAATCTGACAACAAAAGTAACTAGACTTCACCATTGAAACTTTCTTATCTCTGTAGCGAAGGACCTCCCCAAGGATCTTCCTTTTGTTCTCACTGAGGGTTTCAAGACATTGAACAATGGATTTATATGTTGCTAGTTCCTTTATATATTGAGGTAACAGAATTGGAACATGCTTCTCCCAGTCATCGAGAGTTACTTTGATAGCTCCAGACATGATTTTTTGCTCAAAATAATAGTAGCAGGCACCGACTAGACTCTTGTGTCTAAGGGTAAAAGAGTAAACATCCGCAAAAATATTGTCTACATCAATTTCAAACTTATTATCCTCAGCATATTGAGCAAGAAGATCCTTGACCTCTAAATTAGTAAACTGAGCTGAATTGAAGACACCCTCAGCTGAAAATGGTGAAATTTCCGAAGTAGAATTCCTTGATTGTCGAGCTCGAGCAAACAGAAAATCCTTAATGACCTCAGTGCCGATAAGCACTACAGAATGTACAATGGAAATATCTCCTCTTTGGTCTCTAAAAACCCTCAAAGAAGCTATAAATTCTTTAAGAATTAGCCATGAAGTTTCGTCGTTATCATTAATTAGTTTTGAGGCTTCATCTATAATCAATATTATATCTCTCAATAATGTATTGTTTTTATTAAAAAGTTCTTCAAAAGCACTTGCTCCTATTTTTCCTTTCAGTAAAGGAGAGTAAATCGCTTTATTTACAAAAGCAGGCATAATAGACTTCAATTTGAATAATATGGACTGCCAGAACTCAGAAAGACCTTCATTAGTTACAATTCCGCTGTTAAAGTTTAAATAACAAACTGTATATTTGCTATTAGTTTCAATCCAACGTTTCAGTTCCCAAGCAGTAGTCGTTTTGCCACTTTGTCGATGTCCATGAAAAAGACAGAACTTGCCCTCAACGATGCGACTACCTAGATTCTCAACAAGTTCTTTAGGCTTAATATAAAAGTTGTTTTCCGGGTCTAGACGGCTAGAAGAACAGAAGCAGCGGGCTACACAAAAAAAAACGTTAGGTCTGGAAAATCACGAAACAACGCTTAATGAACTTTAATCATGTGCAACTTACTCATCTTCAAGCGTTTATGAGAACCTTTAACATGAAAAAAAATGAGATCAGACCAAATCAATATGTTCTTATTGCAAAATTTCTTGTTCAAGAGGTAAAAAATTGGGAGACACTTACCAGTAGTGGCAGCAGCGGGCACTTGTACGATGACGTGAATATTACTCTGGATAAGATTTTCAAGAAATTCCTTAACCAAGAAGATGGGTATCAACAGCTCGCCCCCAAGTTTTAATTTAATATCATCTTCGGTAGTAACATATTCAAGCATGTAATTTTGATCGTAAGCGATGTCAACCTTCCAAAGGCCAATATTCTTATAATTAAACTTAGTATCATTAATCTCCTTATTGAAAAGATTATAGATAAGATACTTGAGGTCTGAAATCTTTAAATCATCAAATTTGATCAAAGAACCAAGTATGTCGCTTTCTTTAGCAATGTTAACCGCAAAAGTATCAGCAAAAGAAGTCTTTCCTAGGATTAAACAATTTATTGACACCATCATTTAGGAGACAATTATTTAAACGATAAGAAGTGAGAGAGAAATTTTGGGAAAGTTTGTCCGAGTTCATCATTATTAATAATAAAATAGACTCTTGATCAGTTAATTGTTACGCAAATTGTTCGGTCGTAGTATTTGACTAAGTATGGAAATGTAATGATTTATGTACTAGGCTACTTGCCTATTTCATAACAGAATTTTTTTTTTTATGGAAGACAATGTAATCAATACAAGATAAATTATGTATTGTACTACCAACTTAATTTACTTATTCTTTTTTGTTTTTATAATTAGTATATAATTTTCAACGGACTATCTTGTAAAAACGTATAAATATCATCGCCATGATGTAGCAGGCTACAACCTGTATTTTATGTTTTTTTTCATATAACAATGGGGCAAATTTACTAGACATTTTACTTGTTGTATATTGGCGTTCCCTCCCTCTTTGATAGCATCATATGTTTCTCTCAACTCCTGAAATTTATCATTAAAATATTTACCTCCCTAGACAATAAGAATTACATGTGAGAAAAGATGGAATTAATTATATAATAATTAAAAAAATAATTTAAACATCATACTGATAAATATAGTAAGTGTAACTATTAAATAGAAACATCATTTATTTATTCATTTTTATTTAAGAAAAAATTAGGATTTAAAAAATTTATTCGACTACGTAATTATATTGAATATATTGAATATACAGTATTAGCAAATCTTTTTACCTTACATAAAAGTAATAAAATCAAAAAAAAAAGTACGACCAAAAATTATGCCATCAAATGCTTTTGAATATCAACAATTTAATGAAAATTCTGAAGGAACCTTTTTTTGCAGTTTGCCTTGATAAACAAAAGTAAGTTTACTTTTCATTATGGGAATGTTTGTAAATTTTCGAAAGTATAATGATTATTGACCAAAAAGAATGTAGAAATCAAAAATTGATTGTTTTTTTCATCCCAGATTCCCAGATATTTTTCATTGATTTATCAAGAATAATAGTGAACCAATTTATAAAAACACCACAAAGTATATATTATACATTAATGATTGTTGTTTATTTAAATTTTGATGATTTATCTTTATCGAAATTTTTAAAAATGCATAAATACGTAATAAATGTGGTGAATAATAAATGTGGTTATAAAAATTTATTAAACACGTAGGATGATCAAATCCAATTCATTGAAAATATTTGATTATATTTCTCATTATTATCTTTGTATTTCAATTTTCTTACTGTTCGTAAATTACAAGCTTTTTCAATATGTTTCTTGATTTCTTAAAATTGTAAAAAGTTATCAAAAAGAAAATTCGAATTACATCATTAATATGAAATTCGATAATTAACTTTTTATCATTATTTTCTAGTAATCCCAACTGCTGTGCCAGCTTGATTGTGAGTTATTTGAATTAAGTGAAGTTCTTGAGTTATTCAGATATTCAATATGTAAACCTACTAAATCAATCTCTTTTATGGAAACATCATCATGAAATTTTAAAAAAATATATTTTGACGCTCAAATATTCTCTTTAATTGAAACTTTTTTTCCATGAGTATAATTAACATTCCAATTATATTCTTTTAATTTTTTTAATATTCCCTTAAAATCAACTTTACTTCAAAAGAACAGGCTGGTATAATCATTCAGATATTGAGGGTTGATAGAGAAGTTTTTTGTGTTCACCTGCGCTTACACCTCTACCTATCAAATTATTTGCCATGTGATCTCAATTTGGTATTTTTTTTCCAGTGTCGCACATTATATAGAACTCTCAAGAGTAATTTATTTTATGTAATAAAATATATTTGGTTATAAAGATTTATAATTAACAGGAAATTAAATCTAAAATTAGGATTATAAATCTGATTGGAAATAATTTAAATTATATAATGAAAGTTAAGAATCCGATTTCCTCAGATAATATATTATACATCTGTGAAGGAGAACGGTTTTGTTTTTTTCTTTTTTGGTCAAAAATAGCAGTGAACTCGATCCAGTACATTTCAATTTCATCATTATATTCGGAATGTAGACCTGTTAAAAATCATTTGTATCATATTTTGTGCTTTCGGACAATCTTAAATAATGAGCTATTTATGGTATAAGCTCGGCGTATTTTAAAATGAGTTACATAAAAAGTTTGGAAAAACTGTTGGAAACAATGCAATGTAAATGGTTTCTTAACATCTGAAAATCAAATATATTTAACTAATATTTTTCATAAATACTTTAAGTAGATTACAATATAATATTATAATACAGTTATGTATAAAACGGAATTTTATGGAATTTATGGAATTTATGCTTCCCACGATCCTTTGTCTACCCGGTTTGTGTTACACGTGAAGACATGGCCGAACTAACTGTTCCGTTTATTTTCTTTTGTAGGTCCAAGATGCCCATTTAGAAACTTTGACTTTGACTTCAGCTTTGAATTCGGACTCAGAATTTGGATTCAGAATTTTTTCTTGTGGATTTATTTCAACTGCGGCTTTGGATTCGAATTTTCTTTTCATGGGTTGCTTCGATTCAACTGTTGATTTATTTTTTGTAAGTTTTAAAGATGGATTTGGGCTTTATTTTCTTTAGGTGTGGCGAATTTAGCACTGACTGACTTGAATTTTTTTATTTTAGACTTGGACTTAGATTTTCTTTAGGTGCGGTGAATTTGGAACAATTGGACAACAGACTTGAACTTAGTTTTGACTGGACCATTCTTCGGGAAGTATGAATTTTGGTAATTTTTATTTAAGAAACATTTCATTGATTTTCTTTCTCTTGATGACATTTTCGCAGGTTCCGGCCAGATTTCTCCTTTTTGAATATGAGAAGTACAGTATGGTTGTTAGGGTTTAATTGTTAGGGTTAATAAGCTTAGAATAGGAACTTTACTATTACTTAATGACTTATTTACAACTACGAAGATATAATTTTTACTATAACTTTAATATAATTGTACTATTTATTTACTATCTACATAATATAACTTTAATGCACATTTAATACTTATTTACAACTTTGAATAATATAATTGTACTATTTATTTAATATTTACATAATATAACTTTAATATACATTTAATACACTTTGACTATAACTTAAATATACATTTAATATAACTTGACTATAACTTTAACATAACTTTACGATTTCTGTGATGATCTCCTTAATATGCATCAACTTTATACATACGATCAACTTAATCTTATTGTGACGATGTGAAACCATGTCGTGACCAAATCTTAGTTATAAGGTCTACAATAAAATTTTGATATACTCATCGCATATCATATCTTTGATAAATTCTATTTTTTTTTTTTCTATATCGGTCATTATTAATCATGATAAATTCGGAAAGGTTTCATCCATATGTCGTACAGATCATTCATATTTCAGATGATCACATCACATTTCGTCATAATAGGATATAATCACGATAAACTTTCTCTCGTTTCATTTTTTCGTTTAAAACAAATAAAGGAACTAATTACATATAAAAACACGTTTAGATTAGCAATAATAGCTAGTTAACTATCTACTATACCTTTGATTCTCTAAAAATGTTTACAGCAGAATTTGAGACTTTTGCAGCTGTCTCTTCTCAAAGTTCTCGTAGAAGCTCAGTGACTTCCTTATCTGATAAAGATTATCAAGATGCGGATGAGTTGGCGCTTAAGGAGTGCATTGAAATTATTGATGCTAATGTGGAAGAAGTCATTACCAACAATGCCGATAGAAGAGAGAAAAAATGGTGGAGAGACGGATATTACAAGATTATTGACGAAAATAGGTAACTACATAAATTCGATTCCTACTGTTCATGCTAAAATTTGTTCCATTTTATTAGACTCCCTCTGATCCTTGTAGAAGATGTAAGTTACGAAGAGTTTGAAAAAAAATGTGAGCGTGTGAATGCATCAAAATTCTGGGAATATCGTGATGGAACTGTAGTCATAATCGAGTTGCCAAATCGTGATCATGAATCCGCACATGGTGAATTCACTGAACAATTCTTGTCTGCTTTTGCAAATTTGCCAAGGAGAGACAAAGTCAAATGTGTTGGATCAACAAGTATGTATTTTTCAGTGTTTGTTTTTTAAGATATATTATTATATTAATAAACCTAACTCTCTTGCATTCAGCTTGTTCTGCTACTCCAGAACGTAGGGTCAGGGGAAACAGTAAACAGTCGGATGCTTCATTCGTACCAAAACTTCTGCCTAACCCAGCTCAGAACCCGTGCGATACTGAGGTATTGTTTCCTGAATTCTATTATTGAAAATACGTAGACCTATCTGAATTTACAATTGTTTGTAGGGTAATCCCTGGCCAACCATTATCGTTGAAGTGGCCAATACACAAAGTCTTGCAAGTATAATCCAAAAGACAATCCAATTCTGGTTGGCCCCAAATCGTGTAGAAGATGTCATTGTGTTAAAATTATGGAAATGGAATTCAATTTGGGATCAAAATGGAACACCTTTACGCCGTTTAACAGTTCAGTATTATTCTTTGGTGCCATTTCACTTATTTTTGCCTAATAATCATTTTATGTTCCCGGCAGTGCTATAAATTCTGTTATAAAAGAAGCCCTCGAAATGCACGTGGAAATCACCTACCAATTCAAACAGTAAGAATTAGTATATTTACGACAGATGATGATTTCTGTTTTGCTTAATCACGATATCATTTTATGTAGATTGAATTTGGAACTATTGATAAAAGAAGTCAACCATATAACGGATGCTCTGCTCCGGGAACATGTACTTTGAATATTTCACCACGTTGTATTTACAGAGGCTGTCCTCGCCAACCGATCACGAATAATGTAGTTATCGATTTATATAATATTCAACAAGAAATATTTGATAACATGTAGAGTAGTAATAATCTATAAAATAGTAAGTTAAGGTGAACAGGAAATACTGCACATAATTTTTATAATTTCTATCACATCTTTTAATACGCATATGTGATTCTTACAATATACACACTTTTCTCCTCACTGCTAAAAATATAGATATGTAAAAAATTTGCACTAATGTGCTATTACTTATTATTATGCTTCGTTAAAAAATACACAAATATATTACTTACAATAAAAATCATGCACATTTTAAAAAATCAATCAAAATTATTTTATGTTTCATGAATAAATTGAGAAAGGGTCGGTTGGCTAAGTAAAAACGAGAGAAGGATTTTAAGGGAGGAATTTGCCGAACCCTAACCCATATGATGGCAGTTCCTTCCCCGCTACTTCTTATTATTATCTAAACTATCACTAAATTCTTTCCGTCTCATAATTGATATTATTATTCTAAACTTTGGATACCCTCCGCCACAATAAAAATTTTTTACAGTAAGTTGACGAATTTCACGTCTAATAGTTTCAAACACATAATCTAAAGTTTCCCCTTCTTCCTTATTTGAATCAAAAACTCGCTTAAAACAGTTCCTATTTTCTTCAAGAGATGAATCAGATAATCAACTAGAAGAAGTATTACATAATTACGCAACTAAATGATTACTAATGTGTCTGAGACAATTCTAACAATATCTGAACCACTCATCTCATGATTGAAATATACTATGTGATACTATGACGAGGAAGATGATTTGGATACATTGGATACATTATACCCGGACAATGACAGGATGACATCATACTTAATTACTTGGACGATGAGATTACTGAAAAGTGATTATGAGTTTTTTATACATCAGTCAGTTAAATCATTATAATGATCTTGACGTGATATAAATTGCGTCATACTGTACATATATTAACTAGAGTTCCAAACAGGTTGATCAAATTCTGAATTTATTAGGGGTTTAGCAATTGCAGTTCAGGTTGTAACATCAATATAACCTAAATGACCTGTTGACCTGAAACTATGATTTTATATAATGTAAGTGAGTTATGGTATTATAATTCACTTTTTATATTGATTTTATATATAAAAAGTGAATTGCGGTATCGGAATTATAAAAAAAGTTAGTTGCGGTATTGCGATTCACCCTTTTATATGATTTTAATATAAAAAAGTGAATCGCAATATTTCAAAAAAAAATGTTTTACAGATATTGGCTTTGCAAGCTCTGAGTCGCTTCCTTGTAAATAACCGAAATATTCATATCTTATATTGCGTAGTCTTGTCTAGAACATTAGTTTCGCCGACCAGGAATTATTTTGATTGGCACTCTCATGTGACATTGTGACATGTGGCTGGTTTTCGATTGATAAATTTTTTTTCGTAATTTCCTTGACACATCGCTGACTCAGTTCGTAGTATTACTGACTCACAGTTCGTAGTAATTAGTCAATAACCGTTTATGGAAACATATACGATAAATAATCAAAATGTCGAACTATTCTTCGCTATCTCGAATACTTTCGCCGTTCGCCGTTCCGGGTACAAACTAAATTCGAGGAAAATTCCCTACCTGCCAGTCCAATGTCAAATCCAAAAAGGTCTTTATTTTATACTACTGGACTATTAATTTTTTTGACCTTGTTTTAACTCTCGATTTCCGCTTTTGCAGATATATGGCCGACATTACGTTATATTGTTACTTTCTAGGTACTCCTATTAAGTTTTAACTCTCGATTTCCGCGTTTGCAGATATATGGCCGACATTACGTTATATTGTTACTTTCTAGGTACTCCTATTAATAGTGCCATTCCGGTTGACATTGGCGAAACGACCCGCGTTGAAGGAGTTGATGTCCCTATTGAAAAATTCTCCTTTGGACATCTCAAGAAACAAATATTGCCCAACAACAATGAAGCTAATAAACTGAGGCTATGGAAGTTCGAAACCCCTTTCAAAAAATATAATGAGAAGTTAAAAATACTTAACGAGAATTTTCATAATGATACTGACCTTGAACAAGAACTTGGTGAAGATTTGAGCCCAGGTGAATTGATTAGAACGATTTTTCCGGTTGGTTATGTATTTTCACCTAATCACATCCACATCATCGTGCAACCACCATCTTCGCCCGCCACCACTGGTAAGTGTCTCCCAATGGTTTACCTCTCGAACAAGAAATTCGCGTTATCTCATCGAGTTTGATCTAATGTCATTTTTTTTTCCGCGTTAAAGCAGGTGTTTCGCGAGGCATTACACAAGGTACAGCATCTTTTTTCGAGCTGAAAGATTTCCTGATAATATTATTCAATTTATTACTGTTTGTAACTTTTCAGGGACACCGGGTGAACCTAATTCTATTTTTAAAGAATTCCTTGAAAGTAGACACGGTCAATTCCTCAAAACGTACATAGAAAAAAATGACTCATTGCCACTATTTGATTCAGAAATACTTAAAACACCTGTACCCACTCTTAAAGGGCGACCCAGTCTTTTATTATATAATCTTCCCGGAGGTGACCATCAACCAAATACTCAGGTTACAAAAATTCAATCTGCAATGAAAAAAGCAAAAAACAACTTGTTAGTTCTGCTGGGGACATCCGGGTGTGGTAAAACTAGAACGTGTTATGAGTTATTATGTTGTAATTGGGGACTTTATTTTGTAGCATTACGCAAGGGAAATGGAGGTTCGTGTGACATTGAATCGATCGAAGGTTACCTACGGCTGAATAATATGATAACAGATGATTTTGAAAGTAATCGTCAACATGCTGATCATATTGTTCGTTGTTTAATTCTTTCTCGGCTACTTATATTAAATGAGTGTATCAAAAAATCAACATTCAAACCACAACGCTGGTTCTTGCTACAGACCTACCAGAACATATTCGGAGGCATGTATAAATATAATGATGATTTATTTTGTGCACTTATGCTTAAACTCGTTAATTGCACACAAGTCTCTTTGGAACAATGCATTGATAATTTATACCAAAAAATCCTGGAACTTAACGGAACTACTGTTTTTCCTATTATCGTTGATGAAGCACAATCGCTTCAAATGGTACTTTATGGAAAGTATCGATCACGTTATAATGAAATAGACAAACGTTCACTCTTGTCGCCGATTGTTTAGACATTGAAAAGACCGACACCATCTTTTACAAATCATTGTGTTATTCCATGTGGTACTGGACTTGGACTTCTTTCCCTTGATGAAGTTTTTGCTAGTACAGGAATTGCGAAACCGGATCTTGACATAGATAAATTTACAGATTTCGGGAAGTGGAGGGACATTGCTCATGTTAAAGAATATATTAGTGATCTGTTAGAATTGAAGGTAACAGAAGAGAATATTGAAAATATTTATAGTCACTTTCGTGGCCGATTTCGGCCCATTGTTACTTGTATAGAAAGAATCATCATGGGTAATTTGATTGATGATGTTGTTGAAAAACTTTGGACAGAGCTAACAACAAACAGTAATAGTGAGCAATCAATGTATCGCCAGCTATCCAACATTTCTACTATGGAACGGCCTAATTTTGTGTCATCAGTAAATAATCTTGATTTGTGTTTATGTATAACGCTTGCCTACTATTACTCTGGCGGACCATTTTTATTCACTAATTTCAAGCAAATGAAGATAATTGAATATGGTTTTGGGTATCTTCAGAAGGTAAAGCCACCAACCATTACTCAGCTAAAGCCAATCTTTAAAGACAAAGTTAATGAAAGAGTGTTGCGTACTTCAAGTGTTGATTTATCATTATTATCTTCTTCAAGTGAAAATGAGGATATTTTAGTTGCTTATGTTGACGAGCCTTTTGCTCTTACTAGTGCTTACAACTTTTTTAAAGACAAGGACTGTCTGCCAAGGAGAATTCTTGACATTATGTCCATGGTTAATAATCCAAGTTCTTGTGGCTTCCTATGGGAAAAGTATTTACCTGAGGAATTTGAGCGAATTTTCAATGGCCAGAATAACATTGAGGATCTGCAGATATTTTTTACTAACATCCCTGATAATTTTAAGGGATCACCAAAGATCGTCAAATCTTCTAACATTTTTACACCACGAGTGGCAAACTCAACTACAGGTTACACGCTAGATAAATTTTTTAGTGAACCATCCGAGTCTCGACCAACATTTTATTTCCCAGAAAATCTTTGTGGTCCTGATTTAATTTTCTTCGTTGAGTTTGAGAATAATATTAGAGTTCCTGTTTTTGTTCAAATGAAACTGCGTTATTCAGTTAGTGTAATTGAGGAGGTACTCAGTACGCTTCATCCAAAAATGTTTTATAGGAATATAAACGGAAAATTAGTTTCAGAGAAAACGAATAAACCTGTCATTGAGAAAATAACAAAACTATGTGAAGAAAATGGATCCATTGGCATATTGGTTGCCTACCCAGCTGATATATTCAACAAATTTAATTTAGTCACAAATATGTCATATGATTATGATTTAAGAGAATCAACAAAAAATCAATTTAATGTCACGCAACAAATGAAGGAACAACTCATTGGATTAATTGATAAAAGAAATGCGTCAAAAGTCTTTCAGGGAGATCATATGCAATTCCTAAAAGCTTTAAAGAGTACCGCGGAAAAGGATGAAGAGGAAAAATCAGTTGAAAAGAGGGGAGAAGGTAGCAAATCGAGAAAAAGGCGAGATGAAGAGGAAAAAGCAGATGAAAAGAGGGGAGAAGGTAGCAAATCGAGAAAAAGGCGAAAAAGTACTAAAGTATTGAATCTTCACAAAAAATTATTTGTCTGTTTTAATTCATGATTGTAAAAAAATTTTTATAGTACCTCTATACTACATGATATGTAAATTGCGCTTTATTGAATGTAATAAATAACATAACAATATGACAATACAAAATATGAAAACTGAAAAAGGGAGACCTAAAATCTCATATAAAAAAATAGTATACATGAGTTAAAAAAATAAATGTGGCTTGATTTTCTCTAGTGATAAAGATAACGATTAATCACGTGATACCGATTCAGGACTACGAAGATCGAAGTAGAAAATTGGTAGAGAAATATATGATATGTTTTTGAGGGAGTAGAGCATATTATTTCTGCTCTTACATTTCCAGAAATTCTACAGCTAATTTTTTCTATCGCTAATACTGCTTGTGTTCTTCGAACATACAGTCTTATCATCATAGGTGCAACCGTGAAGAATCTTCACGATCAAAAATCACGTGAGTATTCAAGGTCAAAATAGAAATCATAAAATCTTTAATTCATTACACTCATTATATAAGAACTACTTTCAATAACTTATACTTTAAATGTAATTTCATATTTTATTTAGTATTTCTGCTTTATTTTTATTGGTTTTTTTATAATATAAGACATCAAACCAAGTTATTGCCTTGTTGGCTTGAGTTGAAGACTTGAAGCTAGTAAATTTACTTAGTACTCCAATAAAACTAGAAAACTAGTTCCATTTGATACAATTTTTGAGGCTGTTATATTATGGTATCATATATGTTAAGTAATACAGTTTATTTTTACCAAAAGTAAGTTTTCTTTTTCCCTTTTTTGTAATTAACAGATATTTTATTTGATATTTGAGAAGAAATTTCGGTAGTGATTGTGGTAAATATGGAACTGCCGATCACGCGTAAAATCTTATCAGAATATCATGAATATACTAGTTGAACAAGAGATTTTTAAAATTTTAAAATATCTTATGTACTCTAATAATTTAGTTTATTTTGAACCAAAAGTACCACACTTAAAATAGATTTTATTTATTATTTATTTAATGACTATCATAAATCAAATTCAGAATTTTCATATATTAAATCCCTCAGGATGGAAATTGTACTCAAGGGTATTAGCTGGGGAAGGTGTACAGTATATTCGAAAAATATAAAAAAGTAACATTCAGTTATGCCTCTAAAAATTGCTTTTTGTTTACAATTAATTCTTGTACAGTTGAATTTTCATAATCTCTAATCATTGATTCATATAATCTATAAAAGAATCTGAAGAAAAGTACCAATAAAGTCAAGAATAAACTTGTCACGGGAATTGCATAAAACTCTGTTAAGGTCAAAACACAGTTAAGCTATAATAAAAATGTTTTTTTTTAGTCATTATAAATGAAACATTTATAAATAATATGTATACTTGTTAAAAAAGTTTCATGCTTACCAAAAGAAATAATCGAGGAATATCTCCAAGAACCAAACTAATCACACTTGCGTGAATGATTTTCTTCTCGACAGTAAAAGATAATTTTGCATCAAATATATCCATATAATTAAATTTACAATTTAAAACATGCAATACATTAAGATTAACTAATGAACACAATACAAGAAATATAATAAAAACGTTATGTTCTTGGAACCATGCACGAAATTGTTCATTATTATTAATTTCTCGTCGTAATATGGTGACAGTAAGTATAAAATTGAAAAAAATCATAACGGACATTAACGGTATACTACAAAAAAAATCACTATTTAGAAAAAATCGGGGGAAGTCGGTTAATTAAATGACGTAATTGACATTACATAATCACGAGAATAGACTGCATGTCAGTTGTAGAGATCCATATAGTGAAAATTATGTAGAAAACCCAATCATAAATCATCAACAAAGTATTAATAATAAAATTATTATGCTATAAAAAAAATCAATTTAAAACGTCAATTAAAAATTAATAATAATTTACGTTGAAAAATTAATTTATTTGTTATTACTTACGTTTTTATTCTTACAGACTCCAAAAATATACGCAGATAAGATTAAAAGTAACCCTCCAACAAGAAGGGATACCGTTGTAATGATCTCTGTTAAGTCACTCATTTTTAATATATTTTAAAAAGGGCAAAATGAATTGGTTTCAAGAAGCCAAAAGAAAACAATTGACTTAATATTAAAATGAGCTGAGCGGAATTTAATATTTATAATAAAAATGATACTTCTGTTTGACTAAAAATAACAACTTCGTTTTTAGAAGTTCTTTTTTTATAGATAAATGGTAATAAATTTTGATTAAGAATATTCTTTTTAAGTAAAATTCATTAACGTATTGCATTGCATAACATAATTACACTAAAATTTTCATTTCGAATTTTTAAAAAAGGAATCGGGCAATTTTACATAAATAGAACAGTTTTTAAAATGTAAGAAATAAAGGGGTAGATTGTCAATTTTAAAAAATTTCCAAGAAATATTCTCCCTTCATGTACATAATGAGTTAAAAAAATGTTCAAAAATAGGTCATCATGTGAAATTCTATTATCACGTGGGACGTGGGTTTATGAATTAAATGGATCTACTTTATTATAGTCAACTAAGGATATCGAAACAATATCTTTGAACTAAAAAATTTAAGATCCATCAGATAAACCATAATTATTTTTTTTTTAACCTTTCATGACTCCAGCAATCCGGTCACAGAACGATCTGTCTCAAATTCGTCTCCGATTGGATATAATAACAAATGGAGTAACGTCATGATGATGATTCTTATGTTTTAAAAAGCGAATGTAAACCGCAAAGGGAAATATGTTAATTTTTAACAGAGATTTCTATTGATTATAAAATGGGACAGCAGGCACTACTACTATTAAAGAGGGAACAATCCAGAGCACAGGTGTAACTAAAGAAAGCAAGCAGCAGCATCGGCGGACATCCGGACATTTTGTGTTACCCCAGTAGTCTTTCGCTTCGCACCAGACTAATTATATGAAAAAAAGATTGTGTAAGTGTTATTTATAATTTCTTATTCTCTGAATATAATTAGTCCGAGGCGTAGCGAAGGACTGTTTATGTTTTATCGATAGTATAACGCATCAAACTAAGTTACCAATTTCAATAGAACAAGTCCAATTCTTTAAAGCTGTTATATCACACATCTCACCAAAATGTTTCTTTTTCTTTCTTTTTTTTTTTTTGGTACGAACAACAAATATTATAATTGTTTTTGCTTATTCTATTTTAAATTTTCCGCATACTGTATGTGTTAAATTTATAACATAAATAAGTTTTACTGTAGTGTTTACCAATCAAAAAACGCAAAATTTAAACGCGCGTACAATATAAACAATAGTAAACATGCAATTTTTTTAGTTTATTCTTTTTCCTCAGGTTTTTTTACATATATGGTATGATATTTACAAAATGTAGTTGCTTGTGTATTTATTGCTAATGACATGTATATTTAGATTTTTAATATAGCGAACAAACAAGTAGATATCATTGATCATCACGGTCAATGATATCTACGGCTTCCCGTGATTGAATCTAGAATAATTAGAATAATTACTCTAATAATAAATAAATTTAATAAATTTAATTTTTCGTAAACATACTATTGAATCGCTATTTTACAATAATATTAAAAAAAAAAAAAAAAGTGGAATGATATTTCGTCATTTCAAAAATTATTAATTATTAAAAATGAGAAGATTCTATATATCTATAATCATGATTCACTTAACCTAATTTTTAAATCCAATAGATCTAACTGTAAACTCTACTCTATATTCAAAAGATATAATGCATATGAAAAGTAAAATTATAAATAATAATAATAAAAAATATTAGATGATAATAAAAAGAGACAATCAGTTATGCCTCTGAAAATTGTTTTTTGCTTATAACCAATTCTTGTATAGTTGGGTTTTCATAATTTCTAATCATTGATTCATATAATCTATAAAAGAATCCGAAGAAAAGTACCAATAAAGTCAAGAATAAACTTGTCATAGGAATTGCACTAAATTCTGAATTTAAATTAATGTAAGTCTATATAAATAAAAAAAGTTTTTTTTTTAGTCATTATTAATGGGACATTTTTATATACTTGATTTTTATACAAAAGTTTTAAGTTTCATGCTTACCAAAAGGTAAAATCGAGGAATATCTCCAATAATTAAACTAATCACACTTGCGTGAATGATTTTTTTCTCGGCAGTAGAAGATAATTTCGCATCAAATATATCCATATAATTAAATTTACAATTTAAAACGTGCAATATATTAAGATTACCTAATGAACAAAATGCAATAAATATACAAAAAACTCTATGTTCTTGGAACCATGTACGAAATTGTTCATTATTGTTAATTTCTCGTCGTAATATGGTGACAGTAAGCATAAAATTGAAAATAATCATAACGGATATATACGGTAAACTAAAAAAAAAATACTATTTTAAAAATTGGTTAATTTAATGACTTTCTTTATATAATTAAGGGAATACAATTCAAAGATCCATACCAATATAGTGAAAATTATGTAGAAAAACCAATCATAAATCATCAATAAAGTATTAAATATAATAAAATTATTATGCTATAAGAAAAATAAATTAAATCGTCAATAATTAATAATTATCGTTTAAAAAAGATTTATAACTTACGCTTTTATTCTTACAGACTCCAAAAATATACGTAGAAAAGATTAATAAAAACCCTCCAACAAGAAGGGACACCGTTATAATGATCTCAGTTAAGTCGCTCATTTTTAGTATATTTCAGTTTTTTTAAAAAAGGGCAAAAAAAATTGATTTAAAATCAAAATGAGTGAGCAGAATTTTAATATTTATAATAAAAAATGATACTGTTTGTTTGACTAAAAATAAACACTTTGTTTTTAGAAAGTTCTTTTTTTATTTGATAAAATGGTATAAATTTCCTGTTTAAGACCATTCTTTTTTAGTAAAGTTCATTGACTTTATGCATTGCATAGCATAATGATTCAAATTTTTATTGCGCAATATTAAAAAAGAAATCGGTCATCATTGTATAAATAGTACCAGGTTTTCAATCCACCTTTAAAAGTCAATTTAAAAAAGAAATGTTCAAAAATAGGTCATCACGTGAGATGCTGCTGTCACGTGCTTTATGAATTAGTAAATGAATCAATTTTTGAAAACTTATTATGTAGAAATCGTCTCAAATTGAAAAAAATCAAATGATATGACGTTATATAGCGTCGCCCGGTAGCCGGATTTATATGCCGGTTCTTTAGAAATATTAGAATTTGTCACATATGTCACTTCCTGCTTAAAATTTTTTAAAGCTGGTTACATTATTTGTTAAAATCACATCCTATAGCATAATTGAATTATGAATCATAGTGTAATATAATAAATTACTACATTCGAAAGATATGTTATATAATACTGTTGTTCTAACCTTTAATAGAACAACTGTACTAAAGATATAATACTAAACAACAACAACAATAAATAATAATAATAAAAGTTATGCCTCTGAAAATTGCTTTTTGTTTACAATTAATTCTTGTACAGTCGGTTTTTCATAACCTCTAATCATTGATTCATATAATCTATAAAAGAATCCGAAGGTAATTACCAATATAGTCAAGAAAAAACATATCATAGGTATTGCAGAAAAACCTGGTATATAACTAAAATTAACGAAAACCTACAATAAAAATAGGTTTTATTAGTCTATATAAAATTGTATATATAGTTATTTTATACAAAACTTACCAAACTAATTAATCGAGGGATATCTCCAACAAATAAACTAATCACACCTGCGTGAATGATTTTTTTCTCGACAGTAAAAGATAATTTCGCATCAAACATATCCGTATAATTAAATTTACAATTTAAAACGTGCAATACATTAAGATTACCTAATGAACAAAATGCAATAAACATACAAAAAACTTTATGTTCTTGGAACCATGCACGAAATTGTTCATTATTGTTAATTTCTCGTCGTAATATGGTGAAAGTAAGTATAGAATTGAAAAAAATCATAGAGGATGTGGTCGGCAAACTACAAAAAAAACTTACTGTTTAGATAAAATCGGGAAAGTCTGTTAATTTAATGACGTAATTGACATTACATAGTACAAAGGGGAATATAATACAAATAATCCTGATCCCGATCATCTAGGTTAGCAGTAAAGATCCATATATTGAGAATTATGTAGAAAATCCAATCATAAATCATCAACAAAGTGTTAAACATAATAAAATTATTATGCTATAAGAAAATAAATTAAATCGTTAATAACTAATAATTATCATTTAAAAGATTAATTTATTTTTTATAACTTACGCTTTCATTCTTACAGACTCCAAAAATATATATAGCAAGGATTAATAAAAACCCTCCAACAAGAAGAGACGCCGTTATAATGATCTCAGTTAAGTCGCTCATTTTTTAGTATATTTCAGTTTTTTAAAAAAGGGCAAAGAATTTGCTTCAAGAAGGACGAAAGAAAACGATTGACTTAAAAAAGTGTGAGCAGAATTTTAATATATATAAACAAAAAAGTTGCTTTTTATTTAACTAAAAATATCCACTTTATTTTTTAGAAAGTTCTTTTTTTATTTAGTAAAATGGGTATAAATTTCCTGATTAAGAGCGTAATTTAAAAAGAAACCGGGCATCATTGTATAAATAGAAACAGGTTTTATCCATCTTTAAATCAAAAATAGGTTACCACGTGAGATAATGTTATCACGTGGCTTTATTAATTAAATGAATCAATTTTTGAAAACTAATTATGTAGGAATCTTTCAACCGTAATCATTTCATGATTAACCATCAATTTAGATAATCGTCCAAATGTGTTTCAAGTAATTGATTGGTTAAATGTAATCATTACAAAAACTGATATAATAATAGATAGTCCTCAATCATCAAAAAATCAAGAATTTAATGAAGTTCCTTTCGTGATTCGAATTGAAAAAAATCAAATGATATGTTATATAGTGTCGCCCGGAAAATGGTAGCCGGATTTTATATGCCAGTTATGTCACATCTGCTTAAAAAAAAGTAAGAAAGCAGTTATAAGTTATAACGTTAATTTAGTATTTCATTTATTTTTTAAAGCCGGTTACATTATTTGTTATGATACAGTAAATCACATCCTATAGTATAATTAAATGAAATATGAATCATAGTGTAATATGGCAATATTATTTTACAATTACGACGGAACTTTAACACAATAAATTAGTAACTTTAAATTATTAATTATTATTATTAATTATTAATATTATATTATTGTACTAAATACATAACGACGGGTCTTATGTATAAATCATGAATCCTAACCTAATCTTTAAATTTATGAATCTAACCGTTAACTAATGTATATTCGAAAGATATATTATATAATATGTTCTAACCTTTAATAGAACAACTGTACTAAAGATATAATACTAAACAACAACAACAATAAAAATAATAATAATAAAAAGTTATGCCTCTGAAAATTGCTTTTTGTTTACACTTAATTCTTGTACAGTTGGTTTTTCATAACCTCTAATCATTGATTCATAAAATCTATGAAATAATCCGAAGGTAAGTACCAGTGAAGTCAAGAAAAGACATGTCATGGGTATTGCATAAAAATAAATTGCAGAATTAACGTAAATCTATAATAAAAAAATAGGTTTTATTAGTCCATATAAATTGTATATATATAGTTATTTTATACAAAAGTTCCATACTTACCAAACTTATGAGTCGAGCGATATCAGCAAATAAACTAATCACACCTGCGTGAATGATTTTTTTCTCGACAGTAAAAGATAATTTCGCATCAAATATATCCATATAATTAAATTTACAATTTAAACCGTGCAATATATTAAGATTACCTAATGAACAAAATGCAATAAATATACAAAAAACTTTATGTTCTTGGAACCATGCACGAAATTGTTCATTATTGTTAATTTCTCGTCGTAATATGATGAAAGTAATTATAGAATTGAAAAAAACCATAGAGCATAGGATCGTCAAACTACAAAAAAAATCTACTGTTTAGATAAAATCGGGAAAGTCTTAATTTAATGACGTAATTGACATTACTTAGTACAAATGAGAATCGCAAAACCCATACTCTCACTCTCATACAGATACGAATTAGTAAAATAGATCCATATCCATATATTGAGAATTATGTAGAAAATCCAATCATAAATCATCAACAAAGTGTTAAACATAATAAAATTATTATGCTATAAGAAAAATAAATTAAATCGTCAATAACTAATAATTATCGTTTAAAAGATTAATTTATTTTTTATAACTTACGCTTTTATTCTTACAGACTCCAAAAATATACGTAGAAAAGATTAATAAAAACCCTCCAACAAGAAGGGACACCGTTATAATGATCTCAGTTAATTCGCTCATTTTCAATATATTTTTTTTAAAAAAAAAAGGGCAAAGAATTTGTTTCAAGAAGACGCCTGACTTAAAAATGGGAGCAGAATTTTAATATATATATATATATAAGTTGCTCTTTATTTAACTAAAAATATCCACTTTGTTTTTTAGAAAGTTCTTTTTTTTTATTTGTATAAATTTCCTGATTAAGAGCGTAATTTAAAAAAGAAACTGAGCATCATACTTTTTGTGATACCGGTAGGTGGTACTATATGGTAAAGCGGTACAAATTCTTTTGGATCATTAGTTTTTATACGGAAACCTCCATAATTTTTTTCACTGTATTTCTCTATAAGAAGTAGTATCGAAACTGTTTTCTAATCAATAAAATTAGTTTAAAAAATTTATTTTTAATGAAGAATAATTGCGAGAGATAATGTGCAATTTGAGAATATTGTCCGAAAAAAAAAAAATTTGATTAGTCAATTATTCCCAATATACGTGTAATTGAATAAAATAAAAATAAAACTGAAAACTCAAATCTCAATATAACAGAGTTGAAACTATTATAATCTATAACAATGATAAATTTTTTTATATATCAGACTCGATATACTAGATTTTTGAAAAATTTAACCATTGGACTAGTTATTTTTTTCACTGCTATATCTAAAGTTTCAAATCCACAAATCCATTTACTTAATTCATACCAATTAGAATCTGCAAGTTCCAATTCTTATATAATAATACAGTTGTTAGATAGAGGCGTTAAATACATCAATCATTGATTATTTATTAAAATTTTTTAACAATGACAGGCCCTTGTATCAGAGTTCCAAAAACTAAACGATCAAATATTCCTGAAGAAACCTGGCAAAATGCAATTTCTGATAATAGAGCTTTAATCGTTGTACATAGAAATCAAATCAGTGAGTATATCTTGATCTAGTAAAGATACTTAGATATGTTAAATTTAAACTTTGATTATTGCAGACCCATGTTCAGGTGAAAAATTTCTTGATGCGACTAACGATATCGCTCATATTATCAGCATGATGTATAATATTCTCTTAAGAGAATATAACAGTAACTTACCAGTAGCAATGCAATATGATTAAGGTTGCTTGCCGAAACCTAGGGGTTTAGGCAAGATGGCGTTTCACCAAAAAGCGAAATTCTGCCAAAACTATATTAAAATTATATTAAAAAACTGGCGAAACTTTGAAGAAAGGCGAAACTGCCAAAACTTATTATAAATGCTGAAACTGCTGAAACTCTGCTGAAACTATAATAAATCCATAGTAAAATTTTGATGAAACTAATCGTAGGATTTTGAAGAGGTTTAGACAAGCAACCTTAAATATGATTCATTCCCTAGGTTAGTTTCTCGTTTGAATGTAGACAGTTTTACTAAGAATTGATTAAAAAGAAGGATCGCAGTTTATGGCATATCAATAAGACAGTTAACTTTACTAATACACTTTAAAAATGCTTGTAACACTCGAGTTCATAGGGAGCGTTAGAATTTTAATCCAAATGTATCAACGTTAAATCAGAAACAAGATGCTCTTGACATGTTGCACACTATTAGACAGTCAAGAGCTTTTGATGAAGCATTTGAATTATGCACATTTTGTGTATATGGATAAATAAACCAATAAACTTGTGCAAATCAATAAAAATATTTAATTATTTCTAATCTCTGAAATATATTTATAAGAAATAAAATCTTTGCTGTAAAGAATCTTATTAATAACAAATTTCATGCTCAAATTGGCATTCCTAACATTTCGCGAGCTTTACGCATCATCGTAACAGCTTCTGTCCCTTTATATACATCACAAATTGTTTCCCAAAAAAGTTTGTCCTCTTCTTTTTCAGTTAAATGACCTTTTGGCGCTTCAGGCACATTATCATAGTTATCAGAATCATAATCATAATCGTCATCAATTTCTTCAAACCTCTTTTCCATCAAAACTGAAATAGCTTCTGCCGCTTCAAAGTATAATTTCCAACCTTCTTCATAATTTATAGATGACGTATTGGCAGCATTCTTATTAACACTCCCTTTGACGAGAACATCACGATAGGATAATTTTGCTGTATGGCTTGCTGGCGAGACTTCATATTTGATTTTTCCATCAACAAGTGTGTTAGCATCATCTCTATTAATTTTTTCTTTCACAAAGATATCGACTTCACCGCCATCTTTTTCTTAACAAGAAAAGAAAATATGTTAGGGTAACCAAGCTAAATTTTAAATAGAGGAAGAATCATGATAACAATACCTGAATTCAATTTTTCTATCTCATCATCACCTGTAAAGTCCACAAAGCTATCTTTATGGTTGTTAATCAAGTGTTGACTTAGTGCAACAAGAGTAACAAATCGGGTATAACTACAAATTGGACACTAAATATTAAAGAAAAAAGTTAACATGGTCGTTTTAGTGCTTACAAAGCAATGTAACGGATAAAATAGTTTTTTGAGTCAACCTTAAATGGTCTTTGTTGAATGTGCTTACGTAAATGTTCTGTAAAATACAATAATAACTTATTTAATTTCTACAGCATCAGCAAAGCCAAAAAAATACTTAACAAATTTTTATACCTTCTAACAAAATATCTTTATTATAAGATTTCTTACAACCTTCCCACGGACATATGTAAACTGAAAGAGATTTGTTGCAGGAATTAATGTCGTGTTTAGCGACGTGTTTTCTGAGTTCATCCACGGTTTTAAAGTACTGTGGTTTTGAATGAGGATATAACCATTTGCAGACAAATGGCTTTGGATTAATACTTTCAGACATGGTAGCGTGGTCAGTTTGCTTAATTAAAATCAATTTAACTTCACGTAAATATATCAGTGATCCACCTTAATAAAATAAAAATCTAAAGATACAGTCACACCTCTATAAAATCACCACGATACGGCGATACGTATAGTTCACCTCATATAGTTAGTTACGAAAGGGGGTATACTTTTTTGATTATAGAAGTTGTACGAACTATTATTTAAAACCCCCCCCCCCCCCGAAATCTGATTGGTTTGATTTGCGTAATATATATTATGTAGGTCTTTCAACCGTAATCATTTTATGATTAACCATCAATTTGATTGTTAAATGTAATCATTACAAAAAGTGATATAATAATAGATAGGCCTCAATCATGCATCAAAAAATCAAGAATTTAATGAAGTTCTTTTTCGTGATTCGAATTGAAAAAAATCAAATGATATGACGTTATTTGGCGTCGCCCGAAAAATGGTAGCCGGATTTTATATGCCAGTTCTTTAGAAATATTAGAAATTTGTCACATATGTCACATCTGCTTAAAATAAAAGTAAGAAAGCAGTTATATCGTTAATTTAGTATTTTCATTTATTTTTTAAAGCCGGTTACATTATTTGTTATGATACAGCAAATCACATCCTATAGCATAATTAAATGAAATATGAATCATAGTATAATATGGTTACAATTACGAACTTTAACAATAAATTAGTAACCTTAAATTATTAATTATTATTATTAATTATGATTCACGTAAAATCCTAACCTAATCTTTAAATTTATGAATCTAACCATTAACTAACTAATGTATATTCGAAAGATATATTATATAATATGTTCTAACCTTTAATAGAACTAAAGATATAATACTAAACAACAACAACAATAATAAATAATAATAATAAAAGTTATGCCTCTGAAAATTGCTTTTTGTTTACAATTAATTCTTGTACAGTTGGTTTTTCATAACCTCTAATCATTGATTCATAAAATCTATAAAATAATCCGAAGGTAAGTACCAGTGAAGTCAAGAAAAAACATATCATAGGTATTGCATAAAAATACAATACAGAATTAACGTAAATCTATAATAAAAAATAGGTTTTATTAGTCCATATAAATTGTATATATAGTTATTTTATACAAAAGTTCCATACTTACCAAACTTATGAATCGAGCGATATCAGCAAATAAACTAATCACACCTGCGTGAATGATTTTTTTCTCGACAGTAAAAGATAATTTCGCATCAAATATATCCATATAATTAAATTTACAATTTAAAACGTGCAATATATTAAGATTACCTAATGAACAAAATGCAATAAACGTACAAAAAATTTTATGTTCTTGGAACCATGCACGAAATTGTTCATTATTGTTAATTTCTCGTCGTAATATGATGAAAGTAATCATAGAATTGAATAAAACCATAGAGCATAGGATCGGCAAACTACAAAAAAAAAACCTACTGTTTAGATAAATTCGGGGAAGTCTTAATTTAATGACGTATAATTGACATTACATAGTACTAATGAAAATCGCATAACCCAAATACGTATTCTCATCGTGATATGAATTATCATAATCGATCCATATCCATATATTGAGAATTATGTAGAAAATCCAATCATAAATCATCAACAAAGTGTTAAACATAATAAAATTATTATGCTATAAGAAAAATAAAATTAAATCGTTAATAACTAATAATTATCGTTTAAAAGATTAATTTATTTATAACTTACGCTTTTATTCTTACAGACTCCAAAAATATACGTAGAAAAGATTAATAAAAACCCTCCAACAAGAAGGGACACCGTTATAATGACCTCAGTTAATTCGCTCATTTTCGAAATATTTTTTTTAAAAAAAGAATTTGTTTCAAGAAGACGAAAGAAAACGCCCGACTTAAAAAATGGGAATTTTAATATATATAAAAAAAAGTTGCTTTTTATTTGACTAAAAATATCCACTTTGTTTATTTAAAAAAGAAATTGGGCAACTTTGTATGGTTTTTATCTACCTTAAAATGTCAATAAAAGAAATATTTTCCCTTTATGTACATTGATGAACATGCATCTACAGTTCTTTTTTTTTCTTTTTTATTTCTTTTTTTTTTAACCTTTTTTGTCTTTTATTTTTCCTTTCATTTTTATTTTGATCTCTTTTCTTTTCATCTTTATTTCTTTTCTTCATCTTTTTATTTCCTAATTATTGTTAAGATTTCTCTTTTTTTACATCATTATTGTTACTGGTTATGTCAGTTGCCCTTTCTAGGCATATCGGAAGACAATATATTTGAATCTAAAGATCTAAGAATCATTTCCGAGACAAATAATTCATCAGTTAAACCTATCAGACTGGAGTTTAAATAGGAATTTTTCGTGATTCTGGCAGACGGACGAATCCATAAATCCAGTCTTAATGATCGACAAAGCATACGTTATGATGTCATGATACTTAACTCTAACGAGATTTAAAATGGGACAGACGCATTTCTGAATCATCTGATTCAAAGACAGTACCAAGATTCAGTTGACGGTAAAGTGAAACTAGAACTTATACCAATCACCACGAACTTATTTTGGCAACAGAATTATGAGATTTGTATCAACATAGTTCAGAAATTTCGCCAGCTTGAGTTCGAGTTATGTCGGCAAAACAAGAGGAATTGAAAAAAGAGGAAATACAGATGTCACGTTGTTAGGACATGATAGTGAGACTTAGTTGTTTAGCATTAGCAGCGAATTTTAAGGATATATTGCCTGCGATGTAGGAAAATACATCTCATTTAAAGAATTAGTTGTACTTTTTTTTGGTGGCGTTAAATAAAAGCATGATCTGCATTAGCCGTTAAAAGAAAGGAATGAGTAAATCCTATAGAAAAACGCTTCGAATCTAACTAGCGAAAATTTACTTTATTTCACATATAGACACTTTTAATAAGAAGCAAAATATGCCTATATTTGACACGTAGTGTTTTGGGAGATCTTCTCGAGCCGCAAAATTCTAAAGTAATTATAACTTCATATATAAATTCATTAATTCAGTGGATGAAACAATTATTTGAATAAGATAATTAAAATATATATATTTAATAAGCACTTAATAAAAAGTGTAAATGTAATCAAAATTTTCGTTTCAAAAAGAAATTGGCGAATTTATATAAAATAACGAGTTAAGATTAAATATAATAAATCTCTTGCAAAAGGTGGTTCTTACAGAATATGAAAAGTAAAATAGGGTAATGAAAATATTAAACAGTGAGTTAACACACATATATATAGTTATCATTTAGAGACAAATTTGTAAATTAATGCTCTTAAATTACAAAGTACAAATTTATACTTGATAAGAAATTAATGATCATAATTTCTTCAAGTAATTTAATCTAAATATTTAATAATATTATTTATTTTTATACTAATAAATAACTTGAATTGGTGACATGGGATATTATTATTATTGTGGGCAGTCATAAAACCTAAAATTTCGCTCTTTCCCGGATAAATTTCCGCGTAGGACGAATTATGCAGGGGTCAGTGGATTTTTTTTATAGATGCGCGAATATTTAAAAGGAAGTCAATTGAAAGAAAAAATTGAACGTAAGTTTCATATCGGTTACACGGCAAAATATTTGATGATATTTTATATTTTGCTAGAATTCGGAACCGGTTGTAAAAACATTTGCAGTAGCAACTATAGCAAGTGTTAATAATCTATCGTTACTAACGCTAGTAGTTTTAGTTTTAATTTTCTTTTTTAAATTATTATAATAGAAATTCTTGACCATTAATGGGCTAGCTCCGGGAATTTTCTTAGCGGCATCGGACCATTTAAATTTATTTTCTTCGATAATTTTCATCTCTTCTTCGTTAAATTTCCTTTTTTTATTAACTATTATATTTGGGAGGAGAATAATAATTAACAAAATTAAATTGAATTAATTTTTCTTTTAAAAAATATACCTGAGGGGTCTAAATGGTTAATCCATCTATCCCGAATTTGTTTAGTATTTCTCTTGCCTTTGAAACCTTTTTCAATTTTAGAAAGATTGGTAATACCGTGTTCATGTACAAGAGATTCTAATAAAAGATCTTCCTAAATAATTAAAAATTTTTAAGCTCATTTACGATAAATAATAATAAATGAACACAGTTAAATTATTAGAGTGGGTGAATTACATCTTTTGTCCATCTTCCTTTACGAACTGCCAATGACATATCAGAGGAGAGTATCACGGAGAAGAATGTAGAGTAGGAGACCATCATAAATAATGAGAGTACCCCAGGTATAATAACGTTGTCATTTATTTGATGACTCATTTGGATTTCGCAATAATTAAATATGTTAAAATAAGGGAGAAACGATTTTTTACTATCGACTTTTTCACAAGTAAAAATGATTTTAATAAAAGAAAAAAAATAACATTAACAGCTAAAGGATATTTAAATTAACAAAAAAAACTAAAACTTTTATGGAATAATATATTCACCATTCACGATCGGTGTTGTTTAAAATCATAGTACCCGGTACCATCAAACCGGGTGTATCCTATTGGAAACCAATTATGGCAATGTTAAGAAAGAATGTATTATTTATTTATATCATATGATTTTTTTTTTTTTTTGAAACAGAACATTGTTTTTTTCGTACAGCATTTAGTAACCCCTGAAATTATCGCCGTTTTCAAATTAGTGCGACCCCCACGTGTCACCCCTAATGAAATCGATTTCCAAAAATTTGCGAAAACCCGGAATTTTCCTGAATAACTACGTAGGAAAGGGTCAATTATTAGCGATTTCCAGAGGAAATCTTGCGAAATTCTCAGTTATAAAGGTAGTTTGCTTATAAAAAAGTGTTTACGTTACACAAAGTTTTATCACTCACTTATAAGCAAACTATTTGAATAATTGAAATTTTCCTGAGATTTCCTCCAGAAATCACTAGCAATCGGACCTTTTCTACAAAGTTATTCAGAAAAATTCCGGGTTTTCCACATTTGCGAAAACCGATTTCCTTAGGGGGTGACATGCAGGGGGTCGCACTAATTTGAAAACAGTGATAATCCATATCACTTATTCACACCAATTGTGGTAAAATTATGTCATATACCGTCACGAAATTATCTTTATTTACACAATGTTACAATTATGATATGATAAATTTGAATGTTACATAATCTGCATTCAATCCTGGATGTCAAATTAAAATAAAAAATAAAATAAGTGGTTCTAAGTAAATAATATGAACTCTATTAACTTTAAAGAACAAATGAACTGTAATAAATATGTGATAAAAGAATTAATAAATTAGCAGTTACAATAAGTTGAAGGTGTCACAATGCAGTCGGTAAGAATTATTGATCGGAACGTTAAACCGCGTTAGATTATTGTAGAAAGGTATAACACAGCTTGTCGGATTTGCCATAACGAGACGCGTCAAATAGGGATAATTTCATATCTCTAGAATCGATGGATAACGAGCTATCATTAAAAGTTTCGATAATAGAGACACCATTTAACGTACGAATCCAACAAGCTGTGTTTCACCTTTTTATGATCACTGGATGACGAGTTAATGCGGTTTAACTTAACTTTCTTGAAAAGGACCGACCAAATTTTTCGACGGTGTATCTGTCTATCTGAGTGGCTGCAATAAATGAATCATTTATAGAAACTATACAGAAATATCCTGACGCTAAAATTTTGTCATATCAAAAATAAAAGTCAAGATTTCTAAAAAACCTTTAATTTATGGATTTTACTAAAGTCAAAGCACGTTTTATTTTTGTGTTATTTAAATTAACCAAAATCGTGAATAGAGGATTGCGTCAGCAAATTAATAAGGAGCTTAATCCTGGCAAGAATTATGCATTTCCTAAATTAGAGAAGTACCAAACTAATAAATTAAATGACGTCATTTATTGTCTCGCATGCTAAATGTGCATGTTTATCTAATTACACAAATTACATATTCTTTTTTTGTTTTTGTTTCACAAGCATTTTATTAGAAATTCCCAATTTTCAAATTTTGTGCTTTGGGTTATTCTTCATGCCTTATTTACTGACGATGAAATCCCGAAATCCCGAAATCCCAGAATTTATAAATCAGTCATTCTTAAAGATTTTCAATTTTGATCTTTCTTACTCCATATATAGGTTGATCCCCCGAAGCCAAGTACAAGAAAATTATAAGTCGATATGTACTTTGGAGAACATTCGAGATTGATAATTAAAAATCATTGGATCTCGATGATCGACGAGTAAGATATAACGTCATGTTACACGGTAAAAAGAATTTCCCATTTCCCATGGCTAATTAAGTACCGCCGATTTGCAAAGTTTTAAATGGTGAGACAAAAATAATTACTATTTATTAATTATCACGCGGCTTAACAATAATAGACCGAGAAAAGATTTCGCGAAATATTTCTTAATCAGCCCTGTAAAATTTGATGATCGAGAAAATCATATACGTGATTTAACTCTAATTTAAATTGGTCCGTTTTATAACATTTTCCGAAAATTAATCACGATAGTTGTTTAATTTATCCTTATTTAATTTAACCATAGAATAGAAAATCACTTAGGCTCACGTGATTAACAAACGGGTCATAATGTATTAAGTAGCACCTTTGGCAAAAATATTTTTTATAAATCGGTAAAAAATGTTTCATGTAACTTGTGTTACATGGAATATAGCTCTTATAAGTTTAGATCTCACGTCAAAATTATCTCATCCCCTTTTCTCCTTTTCAATTACGGCTATTTACGTCAGATTTTCTCGTGTAACCCATACTTTTCCGCTGAATAATTAAAAAAATGTTTATTTCTTGATTCTGCAGTCTGACGTTCCTCTGAATAGGGTTTATATAAATACATCTTAGTAAAAGAGCATGTTCTGTTTTCTCTCTACTTTTATTGAGAAAATTAATTTATTTTCACGAGTATCGTGAGTATTATCTCAAACCTTTTTTCTTGTAATTTTTTTAAAATTTCCCTTTTTCTGACCAATTTATATTATAGGGTGAATTTAAGAACGTTATTGATACTTAGAAAAGTCCAAGAAGAAAAATTATTTTATTTTAAAGAAAAATACTTTTTATACACAGACTATTTTTTTTTTTATTCAATTTATTGTTAGAAAAAAAAAAATACAATGCCAATGATTGAACAATTGAAAAACTTTATTCGTCACGGAAAACAAGCAAACAAGCATGGCAACCCGGATAATAATAGTGGTAATAATGACCAATATCCAATTTCTCCCGCTCCCATAGATAATTTTCAGGCTTACCCTGAAATCAAAACAAGGGTAGATAATTCTTCTGCAATACAACAAATAGTAGCCGAGGAAAGGGAGCAGAGAAATAAAATGCCAACATATCCCGGTTTGGAACGATATCAAATATTAGAAAAAATGGGAGAGTACGTGATATCAAAATTTTTTTTCATATTTTGATAATTAAGGATTATTTGATATCAATTGAATCAGTTAGTTAATAATTCATAAATGGATCAAATAATCAAACGAGTTATCAATTTTTACAGCGGTGCGTTCAGTAACGTCTACAAAGCTATTGATAAAATGACTCAGGAGAAAGTAGCAATCAAAGTAGTAAGGAAGAAAGAATTAAATCATTCGCAGGTACGAGCTTTATTTAATTACTTTGTAAGGTGTGGACGTTTTCATTGTTTTTTTAGTGGCAGTACCAGCCACCTAATCAAGTGAAAACGATAAGAAATTCTCGACAGCATTGGCGCGAACGCTAAATGTTATCAAGGTGACTTTATTCAGGCTTGGGATAGTTCAACTTTGACGTATAGGCCTTTAGAAATTCCATACTGAAACTGTCAGTTTCTCATTCAATCAACTTCTCCTTATATAATTTCCATCGATTAGGAGAAGCATCTTCATCGTGACATGAAAAAGAAGCCTCGTGCAATTGAGGTTAGCTTAAATTTATTGAAAAAAAAAAATATGATGTTGATGCTCAAAATAAAAAAACAAAATATATCAAGCATATCTTCTATTCATTGGTTTTCATTGTGTATGAAAATTGTTCTTCGTATCAGTTTAATTTTCATACCTTTAATTCCTTTGAATTGTAAAAATTGCTTGATAGATTTCTAAAATTAATAAGATGAAAGGTTGTCTAAATTTGCCTTTGTTATTATTATTATTTTAGAGATCGAACATCATCAAAGAAGTTCAAATAATGCGACAATTGAAGCAACCTTCAATCGTATCCCTTTTATCGTTTTCGGAATCTCAAGATTATTACTATCTAGTCCTTGAATTAATGGAAGGCGGTGAGTTATTTCATCAAATAGTGAAACTCACTTATTTCTCAGAAAATTTGGCACGTCACGTTATCGTTCAAGTTGCCGAAGGAATAAGATACTTACATGAAGAAAAAGGAGTTGTTCATAGGTAATAATCATAAATTCGTAAATTCTTTAAAAGCGTGTTGTCTTTTTTTTAAAAAAATAAAAAAAATTATCATAATAATTATAGGGACATTAAACCCGAAAATCTTTTATTTGAGCCCATTCCAATCGTTCCTTCAAAAAATCCACCTCCATTTCCGGGTCCAAATGATGAACCTAAAGAAGATGAAGGAGAGTTTATTCCTGGAGTAGGCGGTGGAGGCATTGGAAAGGTTAAAATTGCTGATTTTGGCCTATCGAAGATTGTTTGGGATGAGCAGACAATGACTCCATGCGGTACAGTTGGATACACCGCGCCTGAAATCGTAAAGGATGAAAGATACAGTAAAAGTGTAGATATGTGGGCGCTTGGTTGTGTTCTATATACTATGTTATGTGGATTTCCACCTTTTTACGATGAAAGTATTCCAGAATTGACCGAAAAGGTTGCCAGGGGTCAATATACTTTCTTGAGTCCTTGGTGGGATCCTATCTCTGATTCATGTAAGTCGTAAAAATTAATCATTATTTGTATCACATTAATTAATATATTCTAACTTTATTTGTATAATTATTGTTTTTTTCTTTAGCTAAAGATTTGATATCAAATCTTCTAACGGTTGATCCAGAAAAACGCTTTACTATAAATCAATTTTTCGAACATCCATGGGTTAAGAATGAGGTGAGTTGAGTATCTAAATAATCAATAAATTTTATTACCAAATTTAATTAATATATTCGAAAATGAACAGCATGAAAAACCCATTCCTAATGCACCGGTTGAAAAAAAGAAGACTGTTGAAAATTATACTATGATTGATTCTCCCCTAATATATGATGAAATTTTAAATACACCCGGCGAAACTCTCAGACGTAAAGACGTACTTTCACCGGGTATATCTCTTAAAGAAGCATTTGATGTTAGTTATGCCGTTCATCGTATGGAAGAAGAGGGAGCAAGAAAAAGAAAAATTAAATTGGGTGGAAAAAGTGGACCTTTAAATCCATTCAAAGGCAAATTAAATTTAAATGCAATGGATGATGACGACGATGACGATGATGCAACAGGATCCTCATCAACAGTTCAACAAATTCCAATAGGTAAAACAGCACCAATTTCTACTGCGAATGAGCGTGTTAACAAGAAAACAGGTTCAAAATTTACCTTTATGCAACCTGCATTACCGAACAAACACAAGGAAGCATCTAGACGTGCAGGTTTTGAGTTAAATTTAGATGGCGCTACATTACTAGGCAGACGGAGAAAGGTTTCTTTAGATCCCATTGGTGTCTAATTTGAATTTAGTTTTAGATTGATAATGATCTTTTGAATTTTCTTTTATAATTGATATTTCATATATGTATATGAATATTTATTACTTTTATAATACTCTGAAAATTGTAATGTACATATATATAGCTTATTTTATTGTTTTTATTAATTTTTTTTTTATTAGTATGCTTTTTTTTTTGTAGAAAACAAACCGTTTTAAAAAACATTAAATGATGTAATCCATATGATCGATTTTTTGGTAAAGATTCACTTATTTATTATGATATAAATAAAATTATATCATTTACAAATATTAAAGTTATTAAGTAATACCAGTAATTTTTTTATAATAAATAATTGTTATTATAAGAAAAAATATTATCTAGTATTATTATTATATTGAATTTATATTTTATATAAAATTAAATAAATGTAAAAATTATGATAAAGTTTTATTAATATTTTTTTTTCAAATATTTTTTTGAATATATAATATATATTTGTAAAAAAAATTTTCCTCCAATTTATAAAAATATTATATAAAATATTAAATTATACTAAAGTATGTATTTTAAAAATTAAATAATATATTTTTTTAAAAAAATCAAATTTATATTTAATACACAGTAATATTTTATAATTATATTTCAAATTTCTAATTCCATTATATAGATTATAGTAAAAAAACAATAAAAATTCACAATTTTAGATGAAAAATATAAAAAAACAAATATATATATATATTAAAAAAGGAACTTAGCCAAAAAAAATTATACCAGTTTTAGCATTTATTTCAGAAAATTAGACAGATAAAAAGCAGAATTTAAATGTTAAAAGAAAATTTAATATTTTAAACCTTCAATTTGAATTGTATAATTTTTGCAAAATAAAATGCATTTATTTTTTTTTTTTGTTTTAAATTTAAAATGATCATATAAAAATTACCAAATTTTAAATATTTATAACTTTTTACGTTTTAAAAATCTAACTGATAATTTAATAGTGCTTATCTTAAAGAATAAAGTTATTACTGGTTTATTTTTTTGAAATTCTATTTTTTTAAAGTATTAAAAGATTTATAAATACTCCAATTTTATTGTTAATTGGTACTATATAATAAAGTAATAAATATTATTTTAAGTATAATTTAGATATTAATTATAATTAATATTTAAATTATTTAATACTAAAAATTTATAATTTAACTCATTAAAAAAAAAACAAATTCTACTTTATATAACAAATAATATATATTATAATAATATGATTGAAAAATTTAATTTTTATAATAAAATAATACTTTTTTAAAATTTTACAAATTTAAATTATTTAAAAAAAAAATAACTTTATTTTAAAGTTAATAATTAAATTAATATTTAAAGTAAGTAATATAAAATTACTATAAGTATTTATTTTAATTCAAATAAATTTACTAAGAAAATAAATAATAAAAATATAGTATATAATTTTTTTAAATGTAAATATAAATATTTTTACAATTTATAAAGGAGGTATAATATATATAATATATATTTTTATTTAATAAAAAAATTTTATAGTATTATAGAATGTCATTTTTTTTAAAAAAAATAAATTTATAAGATTATATAATAAATACAAATTAAATTTACTTCTAATAATGATTTTTATTATTAAATTATTTATTATTAATAAATAATATTAATATAATTATAACAGATAATACTTTTAAATTTAATTTGTATAAGATTTTAAAATTTTAAAATTATTTTATTTCCATTTAATCTTCATATTATAAATATAAGAACCTAAACTAAAAAAAATTTTAAAAACTTTTTCAGATTAAAATAATCTTATCAAAAATATAATATGCAACACCCACAACGTGACTTGCATAATTCTCCCATGTAATACATGGTAACGTGGTAGGTCATAGGTGGTGCCGAAATATTACGGAATTACCGCCACAATTGCCACACTACCTAATGCCCGAATTGCCGAATTATTATTAGAACGAGATCACCATTACACAATTAAATTGGTGCATTACGGCAATTCGGGCGTGTGTTACTTATATCAGGTGTACATTGCCTGATTGCATTGCCAAGATGCCAAGATTCATAGTTAAAGTATAGATAAAATTTTATTCGTTCAGAGTTTTTCTGACATATTTTATTTGGTAATTTTATTCAATAGAACCACTAAACAACGAGAAAACGAAATAAATCGCAAACTAAATATTAGTTTAACAAAATTGAAAAACAATACGATCTATTGCAAAGAAGTTTATACTTTACAGCAAAAAATTATTGTTTCACGCGTTTCTTAATACTTTTTTAAATTTTCAAAGTAATTACTATTTTATTATCGTAATTATTTAAGAGTTTACATTATACAGTTAATACTTTATTTTAGGACGTGTGTAACATAAAAGTATAATACAAAAAAAAAAAGAAAAATGTATTAAAATTTAAAAGATCTATTAACAAATTAATATTAAAAGTAAAATATATATTAATCCAACAAATTAACAATTTTAATAGGTAATTATTTTGTGATTATAATATTCTTGTTTAATTATCGTTTTAAGTTCTTTTTTGCTTGATCAAAGCGGGCATCACGGTCTTCTTTGGTTGCTATTAATAAAAGCAAATAAAAAAATTTTTTTTTTTAGAATTTATTACAATCATTAAAAAGGAGATTAAAAGGATTAAAGAATTTTGATACTTACTGCAAACGAGGGAAGTTCCAGGCTTAGTAACCAAAGGCAATGCGAAACATGTCAAACCAGTATTACATTTTTGAATTTGATATTTATTTACAAGTTTTCCATCTTCTGTTGCTACAGTAGCACATTTAGCAAAATCTCCCTTAATACAGGCTATTTGATCAGGTTCACATTCTGTATCCTCGGTAAATGTTTCGAATTTATCTTGTAAAGCTTGAGCATCTTTAGCATTTTGTTTACGAATATCGGCTATATCACGTTTAATAACATAAGAAGAAGAAAGGGCGGCAAAAGCCAAAATTGCAATAATAGCAGAAATTATGAGGACTCTTAATTGAGACATAGTTGATTGATCGTTTTTTAATAAGATAAAATTTATAAAATTTTTTGTTTTTTTTAAACGTTAGAAAGCAAATTGGATATTTTTTTTTCAAAAGAATAAAACTATTGAATATTCTTCTTGATAAAAAACTTGCTCTCGTAAAAATCGACCTCTTTTTATAAGAAAATGATTCAATTCTTGTGCGAAGGACAAGGACTTATATCATACGAGTTATCGCACATAAATGACAATATATTGTAATACGAATCTTTTTTTAGAAAAAGACTTTTATTAAATAGGTAATTATTTATATTACCTTTAAGCTGATGCTTTTTTGTGTTTGTAAATCGAAAATTCGGACATTAACGTACAATTTTCATAACGTATGACAACTTTATCTTTAATTTGTATATATTTATAATTGGATGATTTTTTATTATAAGTTTCTATTTTAAACAATAATTACTTCATTTACATGCAAAGGAACAAAAACATGATTTGTCCTTTGTCTTTTTTTAGAGCCGATAATAATTGACGACTAAAAGCGAGTAAACCCAATAAGAAAACACAATCCCATGTTCTTTTATACCAAAGTAAGCATTAAAAGTTGTCAATCTTCGTTATGATTTTGATGAGAACAATCAAATAATTTTTTTAAGGGTGAATAGGAACATTTCACAAAGGGGAGGGGGCGTAGCGTACACACAATCATTGGCTTAATAGGAATTAACCAAATTAAGACAATGTCTTTTGCGTTGTATAACATCATCATTATATATATTTTATTGAATTGTACAAACTCGGAAAACTTTAACTATGGTAAAAATGCATGTTCAGCCTTATATGTAATGCATATCGTCTCTCTCCTTGAACCTTTTTTTTTTGTAATTTAATCATAAGCGGCAATAAACAAATTCTTCCTTAAAGGATATATTTTTAGAATGGTAAATTTGATAGATTTGATTATTTATTTCTTATATTTTTAATAACGTATGATGATTTTAATTCTTAAAACAAGAAATAAATAGATTACTTATTATATACGTAAATAATATCCAACAATATCCACACAAAATATCATTTATTATTATTCACTAGTGAAAAGAATGAAAAATATAAATAAATATGTATTATAATGTCTGTGATTTATTAATTTCTTAGTTGCATTATTATTTATTTATTTTTTAACAATTAATTCCGGAAAGAAATTTAAAAATATTTTCTTCAGTATTGTTTATTTCTTAAATCAATGAAAGTGATAGAATTATATATGATTGTGCATTCCTTCCTTATAAAATAGACAAGTATTTTTGTAACAGAACCAATTAAATTAAGTTACACATAAATATGATTGTTTATTTTGTGTTAAATTTTGTCAAATTTAAATAAAAAAAACACGGATAATTTAGAAATTAACATCTAAGGGATAACTGATAAAAAAAAAAAAGATTTTGAATTTATGTTGTTGTTATTCTTGTACAAGTAAATTTATGCATGTAGAAAATATTGATATAACGTAAATGTACCCGCGCTTTATGTAATGACGGATAGTAATATTTGAAGTTTAATTTTACTGTTATCATTATCATCTATGGAACATGGCCAATTACGCACGAATTTTTACTCAATGGTTTATAATTACTATACGAGCGTACAATAACCATAAAATTATGTTTAACGAAGAATTTTATTAAAAAAAAAAAAGGGATGAACTTTGATTAATTGAGACATGAAAGTTATTTTTATTTTTATTTTTTTTTGCAATGTTCCAGGCTATACGATAACAATTTCTTTTCAAAATTATAATACTTGTTTTTTTGCGGTAAATATTGTACTTTATTAAAAAGAGCAAAAATATTTTAGTAAATGAGTAATACCTTAAAGATGATAATCTTAAAATGTTTTTCGTCCCGTATAATACTTTATATTGCCAATTAAAAATGATCAATCATGTGATAAATCATACGTTTTTGCCAATCTGTATAACAATCTCAACATTCACCACGAAATTATATTCCGACTAAGGTCTATGAAGAAATAAAAGATCTTGCTTTAAAATTTCCCCAGTCGATATCTAAAGAAGACTTTATTCAAATAATCGGTCACATTAGTAGTGATGTTATTTTAACACATCAGTTAAATAACGCCCTGGCTGTCCTTGATACAGATGAAGATAAATGTGATTATTTGATAAACTGATTACTCTAAACCTTTAAAAAAGGCTGGTAAGTTCTCTCCCAAAAATATAAAATGTTTTAATATTTTGATAACTGTTGTTTAATTCTCTGTCATATTTGACATTAATAAATAATATTAAATCTTTGTGCTTTTCTTTCTTTCTTTCCTGCTTCTTATCGTAAATACTATTCAAAAAACATATTCTTAGCTCACGATTTAGCAGATTTTAAGGTGACAATAGAGTCTTTAAAGCGAGATCTTCAAAATAATTGTGAGAAAGTTTATGAATTAGAATTATCTTTAGATGAAACTCAAGAAAAATATAATAACGTATTAAGAAATTCGAACAATGAAGCACTGCAAAAATATCTTGCATTGTTAGAACAATTAATTAATGAACAAAGGATACTTGTCGAACAGAATTCCTCGTTAAAAAAAGAAATAGCCCTTAACGAAAGAAATCTCCTTGCCAGAAATGAACGCATTCAAGCTTTGGAACCTTTATTACAAGATGCCCAGGAAAAACTCACCACTCAAAATCAAAAGTTTGAAGCTCAGTTGCAAGCGGTGAGAGAAAGATTAGGAGCAAGCACGCAGTAATAAATCAGTCGTGGAGAAATACCAGAAAAATTCTGAGGAAACTTTAAACTGAAATCAAATTTCAAACAAAGAATATCGCGTGAGATGGCTTTCATCCTTCAAATCCTAGGAGATCATTACATCTAATACTTATTGTCTATAAAAGCACCAATTAATGCTCCTCCTCCTACTACTATACTTATCTCATTTTTGTTGTCTAACGAGGAGTAGTCATTACTGAAAGAAAACTCCTTGCCCGCAATGAATGCATTCAAGCTTTAGAAGCTTTATTACAGGATGCCCCTAGATGTGTATAAGAGACAGCATTCAAGCTTTAGAAGCTTTATTACAGGATGCCCAGGAAAAACTCACCACTCAAAATCAAAAGTTTGAAGCTCAGTTGTAAGCACGCAGCGAGTCAATAAGTTTAGGAAGAATATTTAAGTCACTTCATGGAGGAATACCAGTCTCTGATCGTGGTAAGGTACCAGTCAATTCTGAAGATACTTCAAACTGAAATTGCTAAATTCAAATTCAAATTTCAAGAATTAGCCCAAGTATGGAATCCTAGGAGATCATTACATCTAATACTTATTGATGTAATTTGTAGAAATTCAACTTCAATTCAAGTATTATCTTTGAGCGTGTTTTATTCAGTCTTTTGAATGAACTAATCAAAGCTATTGGCTAAATACAATTATAGAGGTGTAAAACTTATTGAGATCTTACAATGTGGAAATAATGAGAGAAATAAACAATGATAACATATGTTAATTATGTTTAACAAAAAAAAAAAGGATTAATATTTAGTTAAACTAATTTGGATCGACAATGATCTAATGCGTGAAATTATAATATACGAAATAACCAAAATAGTACTAATGCATAGCATAGTAAATAAATAAGACTTGTCATCATAATAAACCTCTTTTAATTCGCTATTTTTTGTAATTTTTTGGGCACACGCACCAGTCGCCAGATAATTGACGTAATTTTTTCGTCCCGTACACAATCTATAACACAAAGATGATCAATCATGTGAAAAAATCATACAAGAAAATATCAACTAAAGTCTATGAAGAGATAAAAAATCTTGCTTTAATATCTAAAGATGGTTTTATTAAATTAATCGGTCACATAAGTGGAGATGTTAATCTAACGAATCAGATAAATGCCGCCCTGATAAAGAAGATAAGCGTGATCGTGATTACTTGAAAATTTCTAGAGAAAACTGATAAATTCTCTCACGATAGTATGGCCTAATATTTTATGAGTGTTGATTAATACTTTTCCGCGCTGTTATATTTGTTGTGCTTTTCCTTCTTCCTGCTTCTCATCGTAAACACCATTCGTATATCCGTAAATCAAAGATTGAAAAGGATATAATGCAATAACAGTATTATGTCAGTCTGAATCATGTGATTTCTCTTAGCATTTTTTTCACGAATCAAGGTGTTTCGATCAATGTAAAATGCTTCACAATGTTATGAAATAGTACATCCAATATCTTGGATTTCTTGAGATTGGAGGATGAATCGTCATTATATGCAGATATGTCTCTTATTAATCAGAATCTTTCTCTTCTGACGAGCATGATGACCCTGCATAATTTATTCTGTCTCATTTTCTGAGTGAAATTCTGAAAGAAGATCCTTCCTATGTCATGAAAAAACACTATTAGTATCATGTTCCTTCACAGCAGTAAATAAATTTGATCATAATTGCAAATTTATCAACCTTGTGTCATTTTTTACTTCACCAATGTATTGTTTGTTAGGTTATCATGGAATTTGTTTCTGAAACTGGTTCAAAGCTTACTTTCAAAGCTTTAACTGTGCAGGCGGGTGGATGCGACATTGGTCCGAAAAGCTGAATCAACATTCTTCCTGTTCCTCTTGAAGTTTGTCAATAAATTCTTTCAGTTCAGTTGTAGATAGAGGTATGATCCGAGTTCTAAAAGACCATCCGGATTGAATTCGGATGCTCATTAGCACATCCAGATTCAATCTGGATCGTCAAACTAATCTTAATTCTGGCCAAAATTGTAATTTTGGGCGGAATTGAAGTTTCAATAACGAGAGTTAGCTCTGCCTAAACTTTTAGTACTGGTCCAAACTAACTATAATGCTGGTCAGAATTAAAAATCGGATCAATCCGTCAAAAATAATCGGATACAGATATCCGATTTCAATTTGGATGAACGGATCAATCCAAATTGACCAGATTACAGATCGTAGCACTAGTTGTAGAGAATAATCAGATATAATCTTGTTCAATTTGTTTATTATGTTTACATGATTGTTGATTTCTGTAGTAATGCATACATATAATCTTAAGATCATTATGGAATGTAAATATAATTGACTTTGATTTGTGTATTTATAATTGTTCATTGTTAGTATTTCGTTTTGCTAAGATATTTTGTTACGATAGACTTAAACATCTCAAGAAAGAATAAAAATTGAGTTTATAACAATGATTATCACCTGGCTACTAATTGGTATTTAGGATTTTTTCCGCCAGTTAAAAACTGGTAGACCAATTAGTATATCCAGGATAAAAAAGTTATTTGCTGATCTAGTTTATTAGTATATAAATGGATCATTATCCTTTGGTGCCAGTTATAAACAGCGAACCAATTGGTATAGGATGATATAATCTAACAATGAATATTAAATAAGTAGCCAGAAATCATATAGCTGTGTAATAATATTAAATGCAATAGTGTAACAATCGCATGAAAAAATCTCTAAATATTTATACTTCTGTCTCAGAAAAAGTAGAAATCGAAGAGTAAATGTAGACAACAATAAGAATAGTACACAGAATTTATTGGTCTTTAATTACCAATAGGCGAAGGAGAAAGATAGTTGGGTATGTTAATATGTTATTTATTATCACATTTATGATATATATATATATATATTATGTAAGGGAAATTCAGAATAAACTATTATAACGTTTCTATTATGAGAGATTACAACATTTTAATCATTATGGCCAAATTATACATGAAAAAAGGAGCCTGTATGAAGGAAAAAACTCATGTGGAAGTTGAACCTAATAACAGAGTTATGCAGTTTAGTCACAAGAAGATATGTAATATGATAAAACATTCAGAAGTTTTAGATGATGCGTGGAGAAGAATGATTGCTGAAAAAGATACTTTAATAATTATAGATAAAGTTGGAAGTGATATGTATATCTTAATCTAATACAGATGTTTAATTATATTAAATTTAAACTTAATTATTGCTACAGTGCGGTACCTCTATAACCAACCCAATTTTATAGTCATAATGTGACATTTTCAAAAAGATGTCACATTAGCAAAAAATAATATTTTAAAATTCTAACCGATAATTTTAATAAAGCATATCAAGAGCTTTTAAACTTATCGGATTAGATTAAAAAATAATAAATTTTGCTAGTGCTACATAAGTTTGAAGTTCAGGTAATTTATTATGATAGGAAAATTTTGAGAATAAGTGATTTTTGTATAACATAAAAAAAATAATCATTTGATAGTGCTTATTCAAATAAATCATTTTAGTTTATAAACTTACCCATGCTTTGTTAAAAAAATTTTGAAAAAAAATTTTGAAAAAATTTTGGTAGTTTTTATTTAGAAAATTTCAAAGTTTACACGAAATGTTTGAACACGGGTCATGTGAAATATAATGACACCAATGTCACACCTTTTACTTTTTCTATGTAATATAATGTATTTTTAACTGCTCTGCAAATTTACTTAAGGCATCAATGGGGGTTTTGAATGCCGTTTTTGACTTATATATGAAAAACTGTCTTTGCCGATCATTTCCTAAATTTTTTAAGAGTGATCGGCAAAATCAATTATTCATAGGTAAAGTCAAAACTGACATTCAAAAGCACCTTTGATGCCTTAGGTAAACTTGTAGAGCAGGCAAAAATCCATTTATCTACTAATTTTGAAGTTTATGCTATTAGCCAAAATGGCAATAATCACATGACCCGGGTTCAAACACCCCGTGTACAAATAGAAATTGCCTTTTATTTATTACAAATTATATTATATCTATTTCTCAAAAAGGAATCACAGGAAAACTTGCTAAAAAAAATATAAATCCTATAGAAAAGTTCCTGATAATATACTTAATCAAATTACTTTAAATAATTATAATGAATAATAAATTATATATAAAAAATTATGCATAATTCTAATTAACATTAAGTATTGCATTATCCAATCAAATTTATTTAAGTCATGTGATTTTGTATTATGTCAGCAAAAAAAAATGAGAAAAATTTTTTTATTTGCTTAATGTATTTATCTTTTTAAAAGTTATCTAATTTTAAAATTTTATAAAATTCTGACTATTAAATCATAAGATATAAGGGGTACCTATTATAGAGGTACCGCACTGTAGATGTATGTTCTGCTGTGAAAGGTAAATATGCGCAAAATGATATTTGCCATATAATCAGAAAGTGGTATGAGGATTTAAAGGTATATTATAATATAGGTTTACCAGATAACAAAAAAGTCAGAAACATTGGTTGGTTGCATGAACAATTGACTATAGACCGTAGAGTTGAGAGGAGAGTTGAATCCATTGTTCGACATTATGGAATGACGGTTGAAGACGTTCATGTGTTATTCTCATATAAAATAGCACGAAATAATGAGGTTTACAAGGATTCCCTAAACAGAGGTACAACTGTGCCAATACTTTCTCAGCAGTTACAGGATGCTCTTAAGCCATTGGACGAAGCTCCTAATCAGTTGCAGGATTTTCCAAGAGCTTTTGAAAGGTGTGCCAGATGGTATTATGAAAGTAACTAAACTTATTTTCAAGTAATACAGATTAAGGTTGCTTATCTAAACCTTTTCAAAATCCTACGATTAGTTTCGTCAAAATTTTACTATAGATTTATTATAGTTTCAGCAGAGTTTCAGCAGTTTCGGCATTTATAATAAGTTTCAGCAGTTTCGCCTTTCTCCAAAGTTTC